CAGTTTTGGCTGCTTCACAAAGGGACCTAAGTGTAGCTCCTCAAAGCTGGTCTTCTCAAACAATTTTGGGACGCTTTCTCCAAGATCATGAGCTGTTCCTATTGCATTGACCAATGAATAGGCATGAAAATAAGCATTGACTTTGGACTGATTTTCAGTCAGTTTTTTAACACATGAAATTTCTGTTGCATATCGACATCCAAGTTCACGAATGTGTGAAACCTGAAAGCGTTCAAGAATGTATTTTTCTGTGTCTTCTGCTGTCACGAGTTTCCCTTGTTCCGATGTCGAGATGATGTAGTCTAGACCAACTTGATTGACATCATCTTTGGAAAAGTTTAGGATGTTGTACCTTGTTAACTTTTCACCAGCACGAGATCCCACTACATAGTTGTGATAATCAGCTGGCCTGGGAGACTGTCCACGACTGACCTTCATCTTTGCTGGAGAAGTTGGAGAGACATTTAAAGACTGTCTTTCGCCTGACAGATGGCGTTGTTTCTTCTCCTCTCCTTCAAGCAGCTCTTTCTGTTGTTTCTTGCTGAGCGGAGCTTGGGCTCCAAGTGTTGGAAATTCCTCAGAATCCAATCTCTCTTCTACATGTGGAAGGGAAGGTGACTTAACTAAAGCAGAAATCAAATTCGTCTTCTCCGTTTTCTTTCCTTTAGCCCCCTTTTTTCCTTTTTTCTTCGTTCCCTTGGCTGCAGCTCCCAGGGGTTCAGGGCTTGGACTCCCTGTTCGAGATGAATCACTTTCTGTCTTCCTCAGCAACTCCCTTGGCGGCATCGTTGATTTTGATTTTGCACCCCCTGCTGTCTGGCCTCGTTTAATATCTTCTCCTTTCTGTTTCATTACTCCTTCAATTTTCTGCTCAGCTGACATTTCTGCCAGTAAATTATCTTCTGTGCCAGAGGGTTTTCCAAGTTGTTGGTCCTCGCCTGAATCTGCAACAATTAATCCCCCTTGTTGCTGCAACTGCTGTATCTGCACTACCTGATACTGAGACTGTAACTGAGCCACCTCCGCCTGCAATTGTTCCAGCTGTGGACGATAATGGCTTTCTACCCTTTGAATTTCTTTCTCAGTTAACAGTTTCTGAGCCAAAGTAAGAACTGGGTTTCGTAAATTTTGCTGTAATTGTCCCCACTCTGCGCAGTACATCCGAGTCAACAGATCAAGTTGCTGCACTACATAGCCATACCTAGTCTCTATCTGTAGAAGTTGGGAATTGGCAGATACTGCTGGTGTGGCTGAAAGAATATACATTCAGTTGAACTATGCTGAGTAACTGAGTACACATGTGATTCTACAGAAACTGATAACCTTCTAAGAAACTATTTAGGGATAACTGATTTCTTATTAATGATAAGCTAAGGTTACGAAAGCACCTGAAATATTTTATATATTGTTTTAATTAAATTTAATAAGAACAATGTTTTAAAATGATATATAATATATTGCATATCAAATACATATTATAACAATTAACTTTTTACATGGGCACTTGAAGTCTTGACAGAATTGTTACAGCTCATATCTGGTGCTCCCCAGTTCCTGACACAGTCACAGTGTATTTTTAGTACATGAACACATATACACTGACATGTACCTTTATTGAAATGAAGCACTCTGCACTTTGTTTCATTTTATTACTGTATTGTATGTGGGATAAAATGTAAACAAATCATTTATCTGATACTTACAATCAAAAATGAAACAAGACACTTACAGGGGTAAGGATTAATAACTGACCAAGTTCCAAGAATAAAAACAGAAACAGCATTTAATCATCACCAAAATGTCTTAATTAACCTGAACCTAGTTCTTTAAAAATGACTGAGGTAAATGCATTGTAATATTTCTTTTAACAAATTAAGTACACATACTAATAAATTTGTTAATAGTAGATTACTCAATAAAAAACCTAGGACAGGCATTGTACTAGTACTTAATTATATGATGACTAATCAGTGTCTCTACCATTAAAGAACATGAACTGATTATTTATTTTCACAATAAACTTCATAATTTTTCGATATTTTAACCAAAAATTTTCAAGCTCTTTGACTAAACAGATTGCAACCAATTCCCTCCCCTGAAATGACCTCAACTGTAACTAATTTTCAATGAAGGGGGAATATTGCTTGAAAATCAAAATACCTACCTGCTTCAACTCTTTGTTCTGTTGCTACTTCGGTTCTCTGGTCTTCATCTTCACTGGAACTACTGGTACTCTCTTCCATGCTCCTGAAGGGGAGTTCTTGAGTATTTTACCATTAAACTGCTATAACAACAGTTTTACTAAAGTGGCTGCACATCCTAATGCTATGTAACTGGGTTGTTATTAAGTTTTTAATTAAAAAAATTTCTATACCCCCGGTAGCTAAAAAAACATGCTGATAAAATTTACCATCACTTACTTGATAGATCTTCAGTCGTCCAATTCAATCCTTTTACCTTCGAGGTTTCTTTCGTATCAATATGCGGGATGCATAATTTCTATACATAGAACTCGAAACCGAGATCCCAAGAGAAATTTTGGGTACTGAATTACAAAGCGAAAGTGGAAGTGTTTTGTCTATTTCCCTGAAAACCTCGTTTCGAAACTAGGTCAAGGCGGAAGGTGGGTTGAAGCTAAAAATAACGACATCCTTTGACATCGATTATCCTCGAATCTCAGCTACCACACGAACCGTATACTCACCTGTTATTTTACCTTGACCAAAGTGCAAAGAATACTGATTTATCATTTATTCATCTTTTTTCAACTAAATCACTTACTTACTCTCGGCAATGTCGCGATTGAGAGTCCGGCTGCGGCATGGAGACCTGTCATATCAAATCTCAAGATGGCAGCGCGTGAGCAGTGTAGAAAAACTATGCACTGAAGATGCTTGTCGACATGAATAAATTAATAGATAGGTTAACACGATAGACACATTGGCAAAGACTGATAAAAGATTGATAAAAAGACTTCTTAACAACCAGTTAATTAAAGGGATGGCAAATTGTGAGGGTCGACCCAACAATTGTGCATGTGCCTTTACTTGCGGGAGACTTTTTACGGCCACCCCGACCTCCGCATTAAATTAGATAACCCTTTAATAATGCAGGCCCGTAGCCAGGGGATTCGGGGGGTTCGAAAGAACCCCCTTTTTTGCCAGGAAAAGCCCCCCTCTGGGTAAAATTTTATGTAGGTAGGCCTACACGAAGGTTTCATGGTCAAAGGTTCACTTTTTCAGCAAAAGAACCCCCCTTTTGAAATTTCTGTCTACGGGCCTGTAATGTAAGCCCAGGAGTTGGGCACAATGGGTTCACATCTTCGGGTAATGCAATCTGTTAAACTGCTACGGAGATTCCCAGGTTCTAGGCCTGTAGCTACATATGTAGGCTCTATGTCTTAAACTCTGAACACGGAAAAAGAATAAAAACGACTCCATGTCGTAAATTTTACTTAGGCCTAATATATTTTTCTAAACTTAAAGTAACATAGTAGCCTACAATAAAATCCCTTCTCAGCCTCAGTCCAATCTTTTTTCCTTCTAGTCTCACCTCTAGTTTCTAAATTCCGTCCAGTCTCTTCCGTCCTCTCTTAATTAGGATTAACTAGTATAGTTACAGATTTTTGTGCTAAACTTTATCAGTTAAAATGTCAATGAGATAATACATAAACTGAGTGGCTAGTTCAAACACATGTCCACCCCACGTGGTGGACACTCCCAATAACTCCATGTAGGCCTAATCATGCAAGCTCTAACGGTTTACTAGCTTATAAGGACATTAAAATTTAAACTGCTAGATGTGAAATAGCGCCTATCATCTCAAGCATTTTTTTTTTGTTAAAGGTATGATTTATTCATAGATCTTAGCTTCTTGTGTGTGAATTTTAACAAACAAAGGCTTCCGCTGATTGAATTAATACTACATCATGTATGAAAGTATCAAAATACAATTACTTTTTTTTCAATACTGTGGTCCCTGACAAAGTCTTCATTTTGGTGGGGAAATTGCCATGAAACAAATTTCCCTGGGGTAAACGACACTTGTTCCATACTAAGCAATGTTTAATGAATCAGTCTCTACAAATTCAAAGTTAATTTTTTTCTCTTTTCTTTTTTTTTTTTAAATATAATAAGAGTATGTTTTGGTAACAATCTCTTGAGAGATCATTGCGTAGGGAAACAGTCTTTATCTCGCAATGTCCGGATATTACGAGTAACCGCCGTTTTGGTGGTAAAATGCAATTTATATGCCATGTTTACAATGTATTTACTGAGGAATTTGAATCCCATACGAAGTAGCTGTCATCCCTTTAAGCTAGCAATGATTCTGATAGGCAATGTGAATACTAAAATTTGCATTAGTATTTATCAAAAATTTATATGAGGCAAGAGTCTAATATATATAATGTCTGAGTTGAAAAACATTTCTATGGTAATCATGAACCACCGTTGGATTGCTAAAGTAATTAGACACATACACGGTTCGTTACTCATCTACAGTACATTGATCGCTACTCCCCCAAGCAGAATTATGTGATATTTCCCCCATCGTCCATACGTCCGTCATCGGTTTGAGAATGACCATTTTCTTAATGTCACTTTTGGGCCCAAATAATTTTGTATTTACAGCGCGGTTTTAAAAGTGACAGTTATGGTTTGTGAGTCGCATTTTTACGTTGCGGGGTAGGGAAGGTTTGGGGAAGTAATGATGCGGGAAAATAAAAAATTAGTAATAGTAGTGTTTTGGGGAAGAAAAAGGTTATTTCATTTCTATGGACTAACTATATATGTATGCCTGTAGAAAATTAAGGCCTGCAATTAATCATTGTACAATATCCAGGCACACAAAACTCAGAATTTAGCAGGCCCTTGAATGAGCCTGCAATATACCATCATTATTTCCGTCATGCCAGGAAGCGTACATGTATTATAGGAGAATGCATTATTTTTATTTCGTATGCTCTCATTTATTCATCTATCTAATTATTTTTTGTCCGCAGCGTTAGACAAATATATGACAAAATTATTGGAAAATTGGAAATTTCAATTATAAATGCTTTTCCCATAATTACCAAATTATGCCATATCCCAAACCGCTGGCTAAAGTTCGTTCGTTAAGTTCTACGTTTCTAATTTTTGAATAATTGTGTGATGACGGCGACTGGGAAATGTCGCTTGTAACGATTGTGAAATATTAAAATACTTATAGTTTACCAGTTACATAAAGCATAAAACCCTCAACCAGTGGAAAAAATAAGAATACATGCTAGTCAGGATCTATCAATAATTTGGTGAATGTTATAAATCATTCATACATTGACGGCATTCTAGCTTAGTTAACTATCTTTGTGCTTATCAAAAACGGCCCGATTGTACATGTACATGTAGTAGAGTATATTGGAGAGATAACTGACATATCTACAAGTACAAAACGGCCTGCAAAATGCATAATACGATGACAATAAATAGGAAAACATTTTAGCGACATTTATGGAGATTAACTACTTTTCTAAATATACATGACTTGCAAGTAATTATGGTGATAACGAACATTAGCAGTATCAATATAATTGTACACTGTACAGATCCTGTCCAGCCTATCCCTTGTGTGAAGAAGTGCGTCGTTCCACCAGACTGTAACACTAGTCTCAGTTCGCTACCGTCCCACTGCACTCCTCCACCGAGTTCCTCACACAACTCTGACATCTTTGCATAAAGCCAGCTTGAAGCTTCTTCATCGGCTCTGTTCACACGTAGATTTTTCATCATTGTGGGAACCATTTTTAAGTCAACAACTTCTCCCGTAAGTGGATCGATATCGGCAAAATACATAAGGCTGCGCACGTTGTGAAATGGGCGCTTGTGTAATGGGGTAGGGGTCCCTTCGTAGTCACTAACAATATCTCCACAACCGTACATGATGAGTTTGCCATTGTAAACCTCTACGCCTTTAACGTGGTGCGATGAATGGCCGTGAATTACGTCCACGCCGGCAACGTCTATGGCGGCATGTGCAAATTCCCTCTCCATAGGAGAACTTTGCCATTTGTAGTTAGGTCCCCAGTGGATGGAAAGAATCACGATGTCTCCCGGTTTCTCGACTTTCTTTACTTGATCTGCAAGTTGTTTCACCAAAACTAAAGAAGGTTCACTCCGGATTTTGTCTCTGTAGCGTTCCATTCTTCATATACGAGACCTGAAGTATGACACGCCCCAAAGACTACGATGCGTCCCTCATTCGGAATTTCAAAGATCGCCGGCTTCTGAGCTTCAAATATATTTTCTCCTGCACCAACATACTTCATATTGGCCTTTTTCAGAGTTGTAAGAGTCTCAGCCAGACCAGGGTAGCCCCAATCTAGCACGTGGTTGTTACTCAGAACACAACAGTCCACTCCGGCTGCTTGCAAAGTTTCCACGTGCCGAGGGTGTGTGCGGTACTTAACGGGTTTCCCAGCCATGCGGTTTCGCTGGTGGGGATGGCTGTTTCTAAGTTTATTAAGCGAAAGTCTGGTTGTTTTTCGTTGAGGATCTGTAGGGCATCTCCCCATACGTAATCCATCCCGATCTCTTTTGGCAGGGGACCGTTCTTGTCTATGGCAAGTTGGGCGTACTCTCTAGAATCGTTCCTAAAATCTCTGTACATCCACGGTTTACAATGGTAAGGCAGGATTTGGTCTATGCCTCTCCCGATCATCACGTCACCCACCAAGAAAACTCGAATTATGTTCGTGAGCGCAGCCGCCATTGTGAGAGCTGAAAGTAAACCAAATTTGTTTCAATCCAAGCGAGCTCATAATGACCTGGCCTGTTAACTCAGCTTAATGCTTCTGTATAATTTTACTTTAGTCGTCTTTTCTACTTTTCTCTCTTATACATATATGTGCCCGTATGTATTGCATTTTTAATAAGTAACATTAATTACCTCTCTAATAAGTAACATTAATATATTATCTAGCGACCTTATTGAATTTAACTGCATCTTGTTAGTCATTTCTGTTGGGTTTTCTATGCATGCGCTGCAACTACCGGCATATACTGTACATGGACTATTTTAAAGGAAAACGTTTAAGTTTATTGAATTGTCTTCTATGTTAGGCCTACATCCATGGGTAATTTTCCATGAGTAATCTCTACAGAATTAATATTTTAACTGTTTATGCACGAATGAAACACACATTTTAAAACTGAGCAAAATAATTTAAAGAATTGGTCTTTATTTTTTATTATATCAAGTTTTTCTTCTTTTGAAATTCTGAAAGAAAATGTTTGACGCATTGTTTCATTAAGTCACTTTTAGTAACCGTTAAATGCATATAACTACCTGAGCGAAAACATCTACAATCTACAACATGTTGTGTAAAATAGTCCGTTCAAGTTATTATTTATTAATTACAATATTTCATTGTAGACAACGATCGGCGGTCGTCAGGGCACGGCGGAGAGAGGCCGTAGTATTCTGCATAGCTTCCGCGGTGAAGGTTACCTGGGCCCCGTAACTCGAAAGCATCGCGCATTGCGACCGAATGCAAGCGTCTCGATTCCATAACTCGCCCATACTTGTCCCATATGTAATACAATGTAGCCTCTACGTGATATCGCTATTCGCGATATGCGATACTTTTGAGTTACGGGGCCTGGTCGTGGTAAACGCTAATAGCCAGTCGCCTCAACCCCGTCCACTCCTGTTTTCCTCCGCATAAACGACACTGTATTCTGGGCATCAGAATCGTTTTTTGGAAAAGTCAATGAAATTTATACTTCAAACAACAAAGGGAGACCCCAGGGGGCCCCTTCCCCCTCCTCACTTTCATCCACACACAACCAAAGGCATTTTAGCATATCAATGTAAGAAAAACGACATCAGTCTTTAGTACCCAGAACTGTTTATTATTATTACTATTTAATAAAGCCAAACTTAGACCACCCACAAAACAAGGCGAGATACCCAGGGGCCGACCTGTGCGTCATAAACAACGGCGGTCGTCTCGGCCTCCCCAGGAGAGGCCGTAACACCCTGCCCGGCTTCAACGATTAGAGGTTACTCGCAGTCAGGGGCGGATCCAGGATTATTTGAAAGGGGGGCGGGGGGTCCGGAACATTAAGCCTCGGATGCGAAGCCGACCATCTCCCTCATAGCGTGGGGTTCGGGGCCTGCTTAAGGGTCCCGAAATTTTTTTAGTGTTTTGGAGGGCAAACGGCACCCTTCGGTGCGGTTTAGAACTTTGATTCAGCTTGTCAAAATTCTAAGTTCAAGAGGGGAATATTGGTGTGATATATTTCTCAGAAACCGAAGGGGGGGTCAGAACCCCCCTGACCCCCTCTAAATCCGCCACTGGTCGCAGTAGACGTTTATCTCCGGTCACCCCTTTCTGCATCCACTCTTGTTTTCTTCCGCAAAAACGATTCTAGCATATTGTTAATAAATCAGTTAACATTAATTTTGTGTTTTTTAGAAAGCCCCCTGGTAGCACAACCAGCCGAAAGTTGGAAGAACAAGTGGCGTTATTGACTGTATCGTGTAAAATAGTTACGAGTTTCATTTTTGTTGCATTGTGCTTCTAGAAAAAGAAGTATCAATATACCTTTAATTGTAGATTTAAGAACTAATAGGATGATACTATAGTTGATACTCAGTGGATAAAAGGGCATGACGCGTTATATTAAAATTTTGACGTCAACCTTATGCATCAGAACAGACACTCATATTCGAAATCCTAAGAACATACATTTACATCAGTTTCTTTATTAAAATAAAAGTCATTTATACCATTAGTAAAACCCAAACAGAATATTGATTAAAATTGCTCCTCGGTTATTCGAAGTCAGCACTGTTTCATGGAAACATTTGACAGACAGCCAAAGAAGTGCTTCGAAAAGGACAATATAATTTAAAACAAAGCCATATATTGGTACATGGAATCAGTAAAACTGATATAATTAAAACTCTGGGTATAAAATAGTAAAATATAATTGATAAAATTGTTGTAGACCTTATATAATGCAGTTCCCTGACTTCTGATAAGGAAAGAAGGACCACTATGACAAAATGTCTTAAAACATGTTATTCAATCAGAAGCAGGTCTGCGTTTTTAATTTAGTGCCGAAATGAACATGAACTAGCGGACCATGTAGAGTGGTCAAAACAACGGAACATTTTACAGCCGATGTTATTACTTACATGACGAGGCATACCTATTTCATGGTTTTAATATACTTCATTTAGAACTACTAGGTCTCTGATAAAGCATTCACTTTTTCTCGGATCCGTTCCAAACTGTCTTAACAGCCTGGTTGCCTCACGTACACCAGACTCGCGTGCACCGTGCATTGTCCCATTGAATGCAGCGTGGGTGGCCTCGCCGGCAAAAAGAACCCTCAGTTGACCATTGCTATCTTTTAAGGGCTCAGCCAAAATGTTAAAGTGGCTGGCATCTGACCGCAATCCCATGCATGAATATGACCCCAAGGTGTACTTGTTGGTGCCCCAGGTGGACCGGATGACTTTGCACGGGTAAGGGATGGTAGGATCACCCAGGAACTGGCGCAGCACCATGGTGCAGGTCTCCGAGATTTCTTCATCGGGAACGGTCTCCACATGGAGGCCTTCGTGGCATGAAATCCACACACAAAGGCAGTTGGGGTTGAACCGTACAGCGTCAATGCAAAATATTCTCTTGAACCACTGTGATTTATGGTCTGTGATGACAAGTTCTTTGTTGTCCCAAGCGAGCCTTACACTGTCTAACGGAGTGTCTTTTGACCAAAACGGTGGATCGTACTCGAGGAATATTTTATTAACAACACCAAACGCTATTCTATCTATCGCAAGGTATTTTTCATGTGAAACAGGTGGATAAAAAAAAGTCTGGTGGTGTTTCTTCAAGTATCCTAGCGACACCGTGACGACAGCACATTTTGCCCGATAGGTGTCACCACTAGAGCACCTGATTTTAACTCCACCGTCTTCCCAGTTGACAGTGACCACTTCCACGCCGACTTTTATCCGCTCTTTACTTCGAAAGCGAGATGCAATGGCACTTATCAAGGACCTTGCACCCTTTGGCATGAAAGCATCCCCGCCGTCTATATCTTTGTACTTTATGTATGATTCGAAGGGTACCTTGGCAATATCCCAACCGAAATTTAGTCTTTGGTAATTAAAAAACGAATTGAAAATGGCCGTAGCATCATCTCGGTCAGACATGGAGAATTTCTCGAGGAATTCTGGTAATCTGTCGACATAAAAATCTTCCACGGTATAAATGGTTTTGTCTTGTTTACTAAGACAGCAGTGCATTCTTTGGGCCTCTGCATCTATCTCCATACAGAAGTCCCAGACCTTGGCACCAAGATCCTCATCAATTTTGCGACCATCACTCTTGTAAAAACATCCTTTGGACCTGCAAAAATGTCAGATTTAGTGAAGTTACCAACACAACTTTAAAATGGAGCTGAAAACTTACAGTTATGAAATACTGATGACATTAACCAATCATCTGTTCCACCTACATAAGATGCTTTTGGAAATGTACAATTCAGGGGCGGATCCAGAGATATTTTCTGACAGTCTTCCGAATTATCTTTGTTAGTCCATCCCCCATTTTTGACCGTCTTCCGACAGAAAAAAATTATATACCCGTCAATGTAAACTTAAAAACCTGGCCGTCTTCCGGAAGACCCAGAAGGCGGCCTCAATCCGCCCCTGCAATTAGTGATTTATTTGGAAGCCTCTACCGAACGCATGAGGAAAACCTTTACAGAAAGTCAAGAGGGATTGGTGAAGGGGAACATCCACAAGTTCTTTACAAATATCTTGACATCAACATTTATCCGCCATGCCAGCGCTAATATTAAAAAACATAAGTAGTCACCAGTTCATCAGCTCTTGTTTATTGGCCAAATCATTCTCTTCTGCCAGCACCATGATGGAGTTCTCTGAAGTGGTGCCATGGATCCAGTTGGCACCAAGTTCTACAAATGAGCCTCCGAAGTCTTCAGTATGACACCTGCCGCCAATCCTGTTGAGAGATCATCATTGGAATAAAGTTATATTTCCACTGATTAAATAATACGCCTGCTTCTCTCTCTCTCTCTCTCTCTCGAGGATGGGTGAAAAAGAACATCCACAAGTCCCTTCCACAAGATATCAGTGCTAATATTTATCTTTCGAGAGAGAGAGAGAGAGAGAGATAGAAAAGGGGCGGCTGATAAGAGAGAAAGATAAGATGTCGCCTCTCGATAGCGAGAGAGAGAGAGAGGGAGAGAAAGAGATGGCGCCTCAGATGGTTTGTATAGGGCACGCAAGTTTTTTTTCCACTGTTTGATTTGACTCGTGGCCCATGGTATCCATCGTTTCTTATACTGTTTGATTCCACAACGTTTCTTTCAACTTCAAATGACTATTAAGTCTTGATGTAGATGTAGATACGTGCTGTTACCGCTCCATATAAAGAACAATTAGAGAAAGTTTTTCTGCCAACTTCCGCGTGTATTTCTTTTATTTATTTTTACTTAAAATCCGTCGTAGGACTTGGACTTATTAACGGATTGATAGAAAGAGAAAGCAAAGTTAACAACAACGCGAAATAATCGAGCATGCAAAATCTACATAATTTGTACCCCGTTCAGTTATTCGTTACTTACGGCTCTTACTTTGCTACCTTACCGTGGTTATATTGCCTGCCCCGTCTTAGATTTTAAGAAAATAGGAAATATTGACTGTACTGGCCGGGTTTCAGTCAGCAACGAGTACACTGACAAAGCTCGTGCATACGTATAGAACAAAAAATCTGTTAATTTGCTGCTGGACGTTTTAAAAGCGTCCCTCCTTTTAAGCAAATTTCCATTATGAATCAGAATGCCCAACCTTTAGAAATTAAAACTTATATTAGGTCATTACCTGGTCTCAAGCGACTAGATTTCAAGACGGGACTTTTTAAGGGACCATTCCCATACCCTACCGTACTAGCAGGATTCATCTATCGACGAGGGGTTTCTCGCTAAATTGCATTTAGTTTAAGCGTGCACGAAAGTTAATAACCCCCAGCTTCAGTGGGCGTGACAGACATTTAAGCCGCTTAAGTTGATCGCAATTTAGCGAGAATCCCCTCGGAGTTAGATCCATCCTGCTAGTACAATAGGTTTATAGGAACCCAGTCTAAATTCCAAACTAAGTTTTTTTTTCGGTGTAACGTGACAGAGTCCCCCATGATAGACAGTCCGTTACCTCTTCATTTGTATACGTAAACCTTGCCCTAGATTTTGACCCACTAAGGTCAGGCTAACCCTAACAATTATTACTAAATGGAGGGCGTACTTTCTGTTACACGGACCGTCATGTTCGTTACAGCGTTACGTTTATACTTAACAACGTATAAAGTATGGGATTTTTCTACTTTGGAAGCATCGTTGAACGTCAGTCGAATCATATATCTTATAAACCGCATTGGTTTTAACCTGCGTCCCAATTCGGTTTCAATTTGCAGACGACAGTATTTGGCCCCGTTCAGAATAGGGGACTAATTAGTCCAAGGGTCAAATATGGCCGACCCACTATTCAGTGTCTATTAGCGGATTGGACGGCAAATTTTGTATCGTGGGTCGCCATATTTGACGCTCGGACTAGTTAGTTCCCTATTCTGAATGGGGCCTTTCAGGTACATCAGCTGTAGACTGTCTCACACTTTCAATGCGTATAACATACACGACATTGTGTTAGGATGTCTTCAGCGTTGAATAAAATCTTATGGGCTGGAATTTGGGAGACAGTTCATGTTTCTAAGATCAGTTATTTATTTTGCCGGCAGGTTCTCGATACTTTTTTAGTAAAAACAACACACTACTGCAACAATAAGGAAAGTAATAGGTATAAGTAAGAAAGAAGTTAGAAAGGAAGTTGTTAAGCCCAAGGATCTTATATGTACCTGTCACTAGCTTCCAGAATTATGAAGTCCTCAAAGCCCGCTGCTGTAAAGGTCTCCGCCACACTAAGTCCAGCGATTCCTGCCCCAATGATGACCACGCCATAAAATTTGTCCGAGGTTTTATCTGATGACATGGTGGCACTAACAACTTGTACGTTGTCTAATGTCTAGTCAGTTCCGCTTGAAGAGTTAATTGGTCTACCTAACCTGAGCAAAGATATCAGCAGTAAAACCCTTAACCAGCTACATATTGTATTCTGTTAAATTGGCTGGAAACAAGGAGTTGTACAACTCCTTGTTGGAATTAGTCTATACTGTATCTCATACTTTTCACATTCAGACCATGTATATAAGCCACTTCATAGGTTAGTACTTCTATTAAAAATCGTAAAATAGGAAATACAGATGCAGCATATGCGAAGTCTTGTGCTGGATGTATATATGTCGTAATGATATCTAGGTAACCGAAAAAAAAAAAAAAACAGGTCTTTTTCCGATGAGTTGCTCATAATTGTACAAAAGCGGGGGCGGATTCAGAGGTATTTTATGACAGTCTTTTAAATTATCTTTTTTGGCCCATCCTCTTTCGCCCCCACCCGACCCCTGAAGACTCTCTCTCTCTCTCTCTCTCTCTCTCATATTAAGCGCGTTTGGACCAACTAAAATGCAATTTATTGAAAAGCAAATAATCCTTGTAGTCAAATGTAAATTGTATCCAGTGTTTGTCACTTACGAAAATACATTGCTGGTTCCGTCGGGAAGCTTGTCCTACAAGATGCTGGACCATACAAGCGGGCATATTTTCAATGTTCACCTTTTTGTGGAACAAATAATCCTAATCTACTCCCGGCAAAGTGTGACAGTTGTTGAAAATCTACATTCTAGATTGCATATCTACATTTTTATGCTCATATATCAGGATGTACTGTCTTTCAAGACTACCAGTAAGCACGCTTTAAGCGCACCGGTGGGCACTTCACATACCATAACTGGTTATTGACTGAATAAATTGGCAATTACAGTGATGACACAATTATAAAATAAAAAAAATCGTATTGGCGTGACAATTATTTTTAACCTTTAAATACTTTGAATGCCAGGGCAAAAATAAATTACGTGAAATTGTTTCAATCCAATATTTGCCTCCACCCGCAAGAAAATGCAGTAGTATCGAAGTAGCAAAGAAGCATTAACGCAGTAGTGGTGTGGAGCATATTTGCAGTAGAAATGCAGTATAGCCTACTGCAATTCTACTTCAAAAATTACATAGGGTTGTACAGAGGAGGAGCATTAATGCAGTAGATTAGCAGCATGATGGAAGCATGTTTCAAATATGCTAATTAGCTCTCACATCGAAGCAGATTTGAAGCATGTTTGCAGTATGATTGCAGTAGTCTACTGCGCTGGAGTATCTACTTCGTTTTCGTGCGGGCAAGCATATATCAAAGTCTTTACATGTTGATAAAAATGTTTCCGCTCCGGTTGATTCTTCGCAAAATCAAACTAGCTACCATTTGAAGTTCTTGTGAATAACCGTAACGTACATGTACATTGTACATGAATAGTCCAGTGAAGGGCGACTAATCACCAAGGACGATCAACACCTACAATATGTAAGTGTAAAATCGCACACGCTGGGAAAAGCAAGGGTCAGGATCTGGTGAGGATCAAATTCTGCTTAATAATCTCAAATTCCACAGAGGCTCTTTTACAATTTTGTAACAGTTACAGGAAGAACACCATCTAGTGGAGAGTTAGAAACGCCCAGCAATGCATATATGTTTAAAACAAATATGTTGAAAATTATGCTCTATGTTACTTAATATTTGTCTGTATGTTTTAGAATATTTAACCGAGTAACATTCACAGTAATAAATCATACCTTTGCTCCTGTTTCTGTGCCCGCCTCCAATGGCTATTGTGCCTCCCTGGAAGGTCCAATAAATGTGCGTGTCACCGCCTTCAACAATCTGCCTGTAATATCCTGTAGTTTCAGCAGTGCTTTAAACAGGTCATTAATAGCTTATTACGCATGCGCAAAGTGCAAAAGAGAGCATGGCAGCAGAGGGAAGCAGCACGTGTAAAGTTAGTGCGGGGGAGTTTTTGTCATTTCTTGTTTTAAAACGTGTTAATCCATAATCACCATGTCAAGGTTCGTTATAAGTACCTCGTGACTTCCAGCCCAGATTATGTCTTGAAATTTTTAATGACTTAATGTCTGATTATACCCTTATCTTTGTCCAATCAGTATATGTGCACCTTACATTTGATCAAATTATGTTCAGTTAGAGAATTTAGCCCTCATGTGCAGATTTTGTATTTAAGAGAGACTTAACTGAAGTTGTGGGAAGAAGAGAGAGATGGAGTAAAAATAACTGAAAACACTTCAACCTCCTGTTGTTGTATTTCCTTTCCCATGCTCCAGTGTCAAGTTTTTTTTTAATGCAGAACCTGGGTAGGAAGTAATACCGACCCCTAAAACCTGTACTAGGGATTAATCTCCTTCAATACACGTTTCTGACACATCGGACATCAGGGATATAGGACAACAGCAGATGTCGTGCTTTAGTGACATTGTCTCTTAAACAAAAGTGCCGTTCTGATACACTGTAGGCCTACATGTACAAGCTGGTGATACTTTAAATGGCGGCGTGTCGTGTCATCAAGATCATATCAATTTAGTATTATATAACGCAATCACAGATGGTGTTGTCGATCATGAGACTTCCTGCATCCTTTGTGCACATATAATCTAGGGCCGGAAACATAATATCTTCTATCCTAGATTTAATCAAATGTAAATGACAGTATACATTGTACACAGTATACCGATACCTGTAATTTAAAGTTAACAATTTTGTAGCTACATTGTAGAACCCTAAGTGTTATGATTGTTCCCAGATTGTTTGTATCGCCAAAACCCAAATTGTGTGACAAATGTCTATCTGCTAGCCCATGCGTTACATAAAGTGTTGGCAGGTGTGTGTGTGTGCGCCACACAAGACTGTAATTGTCGAGGTTGGGCATTTTATTTGCATATTTGTCCTGAATATTTGTACATGTATGTCGCATGCACCGTTATGTACAGTGAACGACGAGCACTTGTAACCTCGGACACAAAATACACATTGTGTCCGAGTTGTAACTGACCTTGGAGGAACCGTTTTATCGTCCAAGAACACATTCGGTGGTTCGAACAATATAGGATAATTACAATTGCATTGTAATTGGATCACATTGAAGCGTTTTAAAATACTGGTACAGCCAAGAAGACGCCTCTGTTTTACAAGGTACGTGTATGTACATGTACTTGTTGTAAGTGAAAAACTGCAATTATCCTATTGTTCAAAACGTCGGTGTGAGAGTACTAGCAATGCATTTCCCTCAGAAATGTCTATTTGGACATGCATTTTCTTGGTTGAACTGTCCTACCTAGATCTACATTTACAGGATATATTCTTGTCTGCTATAATTCCCTTTCACATTGATGCCTGTGCAGAAACGCAAGTCCTACATATTTAATGTCTGTATAATTATTTTAACACGCAGCGATAAGTATCGGTAACATTCGAGTCTTTTTAGCAGCGTCCACACAGGCTCATGGGTAAGACGTTTGGATGAAATGTCAATTACGGTGAGAGAAAGGAAGTGGATTCAAGTCTAAAATAGAGAATTGTCTCTCTTAAATATTAGAAAAAAGTGTATAAATACTCTACCATTGTATGTCTTTAGGTATTTTGATTACCCGTATTGCGTTTCTGCTTTCCTAGAGACAGTTTTTGATTGTACAATATCTTCTATTTATTACCCAGAGATGTGACCCTGTGCTCTTTTGCGACGATACATGTACATACTAGAGTCATACAAGCAGAATTTTCTCACTATAAGTGCTCCCTTTTCTCACTATAAAAAAAAATAAAAATTGCCGTTCGTAGTATATATTGTTAATAAATCAGTTAACATTTTGTGTTTTTTTGAAAGCAGTAGGTCTTTAAGCATTGATGTCCCCCTTGGTAGCAGAACCAGCCGAAAATTGGAAGAACAAGTGGCGTTACTGACTGTATCGTGTTAAAAAACTTACTAGTTTTATCATTGTTGCATTGTGCTTCTAAAAAAAGGAAGTATCAATATATCTTTAATAGTAGTTTAAAGGACAACTCAGTGGGTTAGATTAATGTATAGAAGCAGGTTCTATGTAAAACTTTGATCAGATTTGTGTTTTGGGAGATTGTTTATTATTATATGAATAAGTCTGGGTCACAAAAGTCCTGTTAAGACAACTAGAATAAAGAATTAGAAAACGAAAACTATTTATCATGATTTCGGAGCACAGCCAGAAGTACTTCCGGCTCAAGGTCACGACCTCGATTTTCCCACGCTTACGACCAATCACAGCAGGCTTCAGTCAGCATGAGATAGACGTCACGACTACACAGCGAAACTTGTCAGACATGTAAGTGCCGCCTGTCCATCTTTTCGGTACATGTACCGATCAAAAACAGAAAACGTAAAGCCCAAAACGCTCTTATACACGTAACCAACTTTGTATGAGCACAAATATTGTCATTTATTGTGAACAGGATAATATGATAATCAGACACACTTGAGACCTGTGAAGCGCATACTCACGTGTCGAGGAGTAGTTTCGCCATTGCCTCGTATGTGAGTCCTAACTCAGCTTTAAGTGTCCTCCACCGCCCCACCTCCCTCCCAACATACACAGTCTGAGTGCTTCTTCGTCTGTCTCTAATTTTCTTTCGTATCTTTCGAACTGGAGTGGCTATTTTCTTTCGCCCCCTTTTGTCGCTCTCCTGTTCAGACTTGACGCGCGTCTGAGCCATGTTTGCTGTTTTGGCGCCAAATAGTAACATCCGGGTCTCAGCCGTAGTACTTCATTCATAGTAAACCGCGAGACTTAGCGAGAAATTGCGCGTTCTGAAGCCGTACTGTGAGGTGGTAGCTGAGTATTTAAGACGAGTCGTCTTTTATTATTTAATGGAACTTAAAAACGGTATTAGGTAGCTTCATTTTCTGAACGGTTTTGGATAGGCTATACCTTGGTCATTATGGGGAAATTGGTGAGTTTTCCAGGAAAATTCATTTTCGTGCTATTTTAAGGGTTAAACGCGCTGAGACTGTCTTTAAAGAACTGTTTGGATAAAACAACAGTTGATACTCAGTGGATAAAAGGGCATGGCGCGTCATGCCAAATTTGTGACGTCAGACTTATGCATCAGAGCTGCCACTCATATTAAAAAAAACATACGAACAAAGATTGACAGCGGTTTCTTTATTAAAACAAAAGTCATGATCTAAATCCAAACAAAATATTGATTAAAATGGCTTCTTGATTATTAGAAGTCCGCATCCAGCAAACACAGAGCGTTTTAAAATGTTACGGGTACGTTATCATGTAACGTTATGTGTTTCCTGGGCAGTGTATAATATGACGGCAAGTTAATGATTATACATGTATAAAATGTTGCCTTACCCGTGACTGAGCTTTCTTAGCTAGTATCCGAGGTATAATCATTTGCTCTGTTTCATGGAAACATTTGACAGTCAAAGAAGTGCTTCAAAAAGGAAAATAGAATTAAAAACAAAGACATATATTGGTACATGGGATTAGTAAAACTGATATAATAAAAACTCAGTGTATAAAATAGTAAAGTAATTGATAAAATTGTTATAGGCCTTATATAATTAATGCAGTCCCCTGTCCTGAAAGAAGGACCGCTATGACAAAATATTTTAAATGTTATTCAGTTAGAGGCAGGTATGCGTATTCAATTTAGTGCCGAAATCAACATGAAATATCGGACCATTTTACAGCCGATTTTATTATTTACATGACGAGGCATACCTATTTCATGGTTTGAATATGCTTGATTTGGACTACTGGGTCTCTGATAAAGCAATCACTTGTTCTCGAGTGGAAGGATCCATTCCAAACTGTCTTAACAGCCTGGTTGCCTCACGTACACCAGACTCGCGTGCACCGTGCATTGTCCCATTGTATGCAGCGTGAGTTGCCTCGCCGGCGAAAAGAACCCTCGGTTGACCATTGCTGTCTTCAATGGGCTCAGCTAAAACGTTGAAGTGGTTGGCATTTGACCGCAATCCCATGCATGAATATGACCCCAAGGTGTACTTGTTGGTGCCCCAGGTGGACCGGATGACTTTGCACGGGTAAGGGATGGTAGGATCACCGAGGAACTGACGCATCACCATGGTGAAGGTTTCAGAGATCTCTTCATCTGGAACAGTCTCCGCCTGGAGGCCCTCGTGGCATGGGATCCAAGCATACAGACAGTTGGGGTTGAACCGTACAACATCAATGGAAAATATTCTCTTGAACCACTGTGATTTAGGGTCTGTGATGACAAACTCTTTGTTGTCCCAGGCAAGCCTTACGCTCTCTAACGCAGTGCCGTCTGACCAAAACGGCGGATCGTACTCGAGGAATATTTTATCAACAACACCAAACTCTATTCTATCTATTGCAAGGTATTTTTCGTGCGAAAGAGGTGGATCAAAAAAGTTCTGGTGGTGTTCTTTCAAGTATCCTAGCGACACCGTAACGACAGCACATTTTGCCCGATAGGTGTCACCACTAGAGCACCTGATTTTAACTCCACCGTCTTCCCAGTTGACAGTGACCACTTCCGCGCCGACTTTTATCCGCTCTTTACTTCGAAAGCGAGATGCGATGGCACTTATCAAGGACCTTGCACCCTTTGGCATAAAAGCATCCCCTCCGTCTATTTCTTTGTGCTTTATGTATGATTCGAAGGGTACATTGGCAATATCCCAACCGAAATTTAGCCTTTGGTAATTAAAAAACCAATAAAAAATGACCGTAACATCTTCTCGCTCAGACATGGGGAATTTTTCGAGGAATTCTGGTAATCTGTCAACATAAAAATCTTCCACGGTATAAATGGCTTTGTCTTGTTTACTAGGACAGCAGTGCATTCTTTGGGCCTCTGCATCTATCTCCATACAGAACTCCCAGACCTTGGCACCAAGATTCTCATCAATTTTGCGACCATCACTCCTGTAAAAACGTCCTTTGGACCTGCAAGAATGTCAGGTTTAGTGAAGTGACCAACAAAATGCAACTTTAAAATATATGGAGCTCAAAACGTACAACAGTGCAATGGTGATGACTTCAACCAATCATCTGTCCTATCTACATTAGATGCTTTTGTGAATATACGAATAGGGGTTTATTTTAGTTACCACGACCGAACGCATGATGAACACCTTTACAGAACGTCAAGAAGGTTTGGTGAAGGGGAACATCCACAAGTCCCTTACAAATATCTTGACATCAACATTTATCTGCCATGCTAATATCAAAAAGACATAAGTATTCACCAGTTCATCAGCTCTTGTTTGTTTGCCAAATCATTCTCTTCTGCCAGTACCATGATGGAGTTCTCTGAAGTGGTCCCATGGATCCAGTTGGCACCAAGTTCTACAAATGAGCTTCCGAAGTCCTCAGTATGACATCTGCCGCCGATCCTGTTGAGATAACATCATTGAAAATAAAGTTAAATTTTCGACGATTAAATAATAAGACTAAAAGAGAGAGAGAGAGAGAGAGAGAGAGAGAGATGGCGCCTCAGTTGGTTTGGGCACGTATTTACATCTATAAGAGGCTGATAAGAGAGAGAGGGGGGGGGGGGAAGAAGCGACTGATAAGAGAGAGAGAGAGAGAGAGAGAGAGAGAGAGAGAGAGATGGTACCCTCAGATGATTTGGACACGTATCTACATCTATATAGAGACCTTATAGTCATTTGAAGTTAGATTGTGGAATCAAACAGTATAAAAAAACGGTGGATACCAGGAAGCCACGAGGCAAACCAAAGAGTAGAGGAAAAAGTAGCGTACCACCTACGAACATGCCTTTACCACCCCATATGTAGACAAACTACATGCGTAGAGTAAGATTTTCTGCCAATTTCGAAGTTTTTTCCTCTTTTTATTTTTATTTGACACCGGTCATAGGGCTTGGACTAATGGACAGATGGATGGAAAAGGAAAACGAAAACGAAGTTAACACCAACGCTAAATAATAGATTCTGCGAATCTACTAAATTTGTTCCAAGTTCAAGTATTCGTTACTTATGGCTATTACTTTGCTCCCTAACCGTGATTATATTGATCCATCTAAGCTTTTAAGAAAATAGGAAATATCGCTTACTGGCCAGGTTTCAGTCCGCAACGACTACACTGACAAAGCTTAAAATCCGCGTGCATCCGCGTAAAGAACAGAACCATGTTAATTCACTACTGGACATTTTAAAAATCCCCCTCTTTTTAAGCCAATTTCCAAAATGAATCTGAATGCCTCACCTATACACCTATAGAAATTCAACTCACGAACCATATATCTCAAAAGCCGCATTGGTATTAACCTGCACGTCCCAATTGAGTGTCAATTTGCAAACGCCAGTATTTGGCCTCATTCATAGTAGGGGACTAATTAGTCCGAGGGTCAAATATGGCTGACCCACTTGAATACATCCCCACGTGATATTTATTCGATGCTCATTAGCGGATTGGACGGCAAGCTTTGTAGTGGGTCGCCATATTTGGCCCTCGGACTAGTTATTCCCCTATTCTGAAAGAGGCTTTTCAGGTACAACAGCTGAAGACTGTGTCACACTTTCAATGCGCATAAGATACACGAGATCGCGTCAGGATGTCTTCAGCGTTGAATAAAATCTGATGGGATGGAATTTGGGAGATCATCCCAGCAGGCATAGTGACGTTGGATCAACGTTGAAAACAGGTTGATACGTTGAATTGCCGTTGATCTACCTAAATTCAACGTAAAATCAACGTTGATCCAGCCACGTCAAAACACCGTCATAATGTGACGTTGACTCAACGTTGTATTTTGGTCATTGGCTCAACGTTGTTGTTTGGTCGTCGTGATGCAAGACATGGATTATAATTTAAAATATTAATTATTGAAAACGTGATACTTTGTTTATCAATACTGTAACTAACTTTATCAAAAATTTTAAAAATGTGTTTTAAAGTAAAAGAGACGGCATGTTTTGTGTCTTTAGTGAACTAGTGAATTTTCTTAACTTGTTATTCAGAAATACATTCCAATAAGCTTCCTTGCAAGGTCAGCTAACACTAGGATGAATATGTTGCTGTAAATGTGATGGAGTGAAGTTAACAGAATTGACAGTTCTCCGTACCCTGTTGTAGATACAGGTAGACAGGTTGAGGTGCCTGTGACTTATATATATATAAAACTAAACCTTGGAAATCCTAACTTAAAGGCCATACATATATTCCCTACATATATTTAGCCATCAAACATATCCTACTGCTAAACACATCCAAGCTGAAAGGATGTACCATGCTTAGGTGCAAAACATGTTTAGGAGTTAAATGCGTTGAAAAAATCAGACAAAGCAGGCACTTGGGCGTTTTTACAGTGTACGTTATAATTGTGTACCTGTGTTTTGTACCAAAAATAAAAACATTTCAGGTCATTTTAATGTCTTTTCATGCAAGAATGTTCTCTAACAACTGGGGTTGATACAATGTTGATATCTGACGTTGATCCAATTTTCAAATCCAATGTTAATCCAACGTCTTATTAACGTTATGGTTAAACGTTGTTTCAACGTTAAAACAACATAATTTGCCCGCTGGGATGTTTCTAAGATTGGTTGGTTGTTTTGAGGGCAGGTTCTCGATTCATAACTACACACTTCTGTAACAATATGGAAAGTAATAGGTATAAGTAAGAAAGAAAGTTACAAGGAAGTTTTTAAGCCCATGAATCTTTATACACGTACCTGTCACTAGCTTCCAGAATTATGAAGTCCTCAAAGCCCGCTGCTGTGAGGGTCTCCGCAACAGTAAGTCCAGCTATTCCGGCCCCAATGATGACCACGCCGTAAACCTTGTCCGAGGTTTTATCTGATGACATGCTGGCACTAACAGCTTTCACGTTGTCAGAGTCTTGTCAGTTTCGCTTGAAGAGTTTATTGGTCAACCTAACCTAATGCAAAGATATCAGCCGATTTTACTGTTGGTAGGGTGCATTTTCCCCGTTTTTTTAATATTCAGTGACAAGCAAACTTAAGTCGCTCAAAAACAATTAACTGCTCTATACAGAAGATTATTATAATTTTACAACGTTATACTTGTAGGAGATCAATCAAAGAACAAAACTAGTGATGATTGAATTTTCAAAGTGAGTACATCGTTTCACAGCTGGACGCTTTGCATTTGTGACAGTGAAGTATGTTCCTTTTTGGGGGATTAGTCGATGAATTATCTTTTATTATTCATGGTTCCAGGAGAGTGAAACTTTGATACAAACTTCTTGACGTGGGACCCTAAAATATTCAAACATAGTTTGCATATTTCAGAACCCAACTAGATCAGATATCCCTGTTCCTACATGGCCATAAAACACTAACATCTGGACAAAACAATAACATTTTTGAAATAGTGTCGAATTTCTTAATCAAAAATGTCTGAATCTTCTTCCATATCTGTTTTGGCGCCTACCACTCTCTCCTGATGGCCTATTGCCCCCCCCCCCCACAAATACCTTTCCCCCATGCCCTGTCCCTCACTCCCCTCAAATGTCACTCATGTTCTCGTCACTGTCTTTTCTTTGAATATTATTATTATCTTTTTTTAGATAATAATAATAATAATAATAATAATAATAATAATAATAATTATTATTATTTAATTTCAAAGGTGAGCATGTAATGCCTTGGCGAATTGCCACCTTCAATTATACTGCAATCAGTATTTAACCTTCATGAGAATAAAGATGTTTAAAAAGAATAATTTGTTTTCTAAATATTTTTTAGAGCAGGCCTGTGACCTCAATTGCACCTCTAGACTGGATTAGGGTGAACAATGTCTCCGCCCCGGTTGGTTTCTATATGCCGACAGACCCTTCGCAAAACTGAAATTTACCACTTGAAATTCTTGTGCATAACCGTTAAGTGCATGTATACGTAAAGTTCAGTCAAGGGCTACTTGTAACCTACATATAGGACAAATTTCTTCGTCCAAGGTGACACCTACAATATGTAAGTGTGAAATCGCGCCCAGTGGGAAAAGCAAGGGGTATGTCTGACGAAAAACGCGTTTTGCCGAGTAATCTCAAATCTCACCGAGATCCTTTGTACAATTTTGTAAAAGTTACAGGTAGAAAAACCATACAGTAGAGAGTTAGAAGCGTGTAGCACCCATGTTTTTTTTTTTCATAATGGAATTTGTTCAAAATAAATATATTGAAAATTATGCTATATGTTACACAAAATTATTCTCTATGTTTTATAATATTTAACTGAGTAACACTCACAGTAACAATGCGTACCTTCGCTCCGGATTTGTGCCCGCCTCCAATGGTTATTGGGCCTCCCTGGAAGGTCCAATAAATGTGCGTGTCACCGCCTTCAACAATCTGCCTGTAATATCCTGTAGTTCCAGCAGTGCCTTAAATAGGTCGTTAGTAGCATGCGCAATGTGCAAGAGAGAGAGCAAGGCAGCAGAGTGAAGCAGCACGTGTAATGTTAGTGCGGGGAGTTTTTGTCTTTTTTGTTAAAAAATATGTGTTAATCAATAATCGCCATGTCAAGGCTCGTTACTTCCATCCCAGATAATGTTTTCATTTTTTTTACTTACTTAATGTCTGATTATACCCTAAATCTTCGTCCAATCAGTACATGTACCAATACACCTGACATATCCGGAACTGCGTTTTATCAAATTATACTCAGTTATAGAATCTACTGTACATGCGGGTGATACTTTAAGCGACGGCGTATCGTGTCAAAAAGATCATATCAATCCAACATTATATAATGCAATCACAGATGGTGTTAATGATCAGGAAACTTCCTGCATCATTTGTGCACATTTAAATAAAACATATATTGTCTTCTATCCTAGATTTCATCAAATGGAAATGACAATATGCATGGTACAGTACCATCGTATACATTTCTGTTTCTATCGCGTGTCAAAAGATACCCTGTACCTGATCAAATATCGTTAAGGAAACCACGATGATCGAAAACTCGGCCCTTACTATTAGGATGAATATGAAACAAATTTCTCTCTACCAGTATTTGTTTTAAAGATGTTTTCTTAATTAGCCGTGTCTTGTCTTGTCTTAATTTATTTCTTTTAAAGAAAACCCATTTATCAAAACGAAGTTAATGCATTTAGGTTAAAACGTGTCTGCCAACAGCTAATGCAGTCTCCACCCGGACCCCACACATTAAATACGACCAGGGTTCCAAGATAAACGTGACCAAGATCCATAGCTGGTCGGCCATAGATTTGACTAATATTATACATTAACGAATGACTTTGTTTTATCGTTTTGGATTTTAAACAGTTAGTGATAAATAGTTTTGAAGACAAGGCTGTTTTTTCTTAATCTAGAATTGATTATTTTTTCTTAACAAACATACTTTTGTTATTTACTGTAAGTGCTTTTATGTGAGAATCCGTATGTTTTATTTAAAGTATGTTTTATTTAGAATACTCTTATATTTTTTGTCGTTATGATTTGCAATTTTTCATTTATCTATTCCTAATAATTAATTTCTTAATTGATTGTTTTATGTATATATAAAGTCTTCTGAACATGTAATAATGGATTTTAGACTCAAAATAAATGTATTATTATTATTATTATTATTATTATTATTATTATTATTAAGATTTCCTTATTATCAAATTGACGACTGAATTGATAAAACCTTGAAGATATAAAATCCTATGCTATGGGTTTGGAGGCCAAAATATCATTGGGGTTTAGGACAAACGTCAAGGCATCAACGATGGCTGAGGAGTTTCATCTGTACAGCGTATGCATGTTGCACTGACATGGCAGTATGTATGTTATCAGATATGCATACATTAAAGAACAAGTAAATTTTCGACGAAACCTCTGCAATTTTTCTAATCAAGATAGGACCGTGACATTCAGGCATTATTTTTGATTATCGATATCATTATTCAAGGTGTTTGGTGGGTGCTTTAATCCCTCCAAAGTATCGGAGAAGTCTCGTTGCTTCCCGCACGCCAGACTCGCGTGCTCCATGCATTGTAGAATGGTACTTTGTATGAGTAGCCTCACCGGCGAAAAGGACTCTTAATCGACCATTGGAATCCGTCAAGGGTTCGGCTAGGCATCCGAAGTGACTGGCGTCCGACCTCATCCCAAGGCATGAATACGAACCCAGTGTGTGCTGGTTGGTGCCCCAGGTTGACCAAATGACCTTAGAAGGTTTCGGGATAGAGGGGTCTCCGAGGAACTGGCGTAGAAGGCTGGTGCAGGTTTCTGAAATGTCTTCCTCAGAGAGGTGCTCCATGTGATACGCCTCGTTGCATGAGATCCACACGCAGAGGCAGCTAGGGTTGAAATAGACGTCATCAAAGGAAAATATTCTCTTGTACCACTGGTTCTCTGGGTCAGTGATGACAGCCTCATCGTCGTCCCATGCAAGCTTGACACTGCCAAAACCTACTTCAGAAGACCAAAATGGATGGTCATAATGAAGAAATATTTTGTCTACTAACCCAAAATCCAAGCCATCAATCGCTTTGATTTTGTCATGTGGAATGGATGGTTGGAAAAGATCCCGGTGATGTTCTTTCAGGTATCCCAGCGACACCGTGATGACGACACATTTTGCTCGATAGATGTCTCCACTGGAACACCTGACTTCAACTAGATCATCTCCCCAGCTGATCGAGGTCGCCTGCTTTTCAGTGTAAAGCCTCCCCTCACATCTAAAGCGAGACAGGATTGCATTAACTAACGACCTCGTGCCCTTTGGAATGAGTACGTCTCCTCCTTCTGTTTCGGGAGTCATACTGCATAATTCGAGCGGAATGTGGGCGATTTCCCCTCCCCAGTGAAATCGAAGATAGTTGGAAAAACAGTTAAAGATGGCAATTACATCTGGTCTCTCAGCTCCTTGGAACTTTATAAGATTTTCTTCTAATCTCTTGACATAATAGTCTTTCATGGTGAAAACGGTTTTATCTCCTTTACTGGGGCATGGGTGTCCTGTTTCCACTTCGGCCTCGATCTCTTTACAGAGAGTCCAGACTTTGGCACCCAGTTCTTTATCAATTTGTCTGCCATTACTCCTGTAGAAATGTCCACGGGCCCTGTAAATAATGAAAAGAGTACATAATACGCCTTTACAAGATAGTGGTTCTCATAAAAGTATGTCAAAGGGTCGAATTTAAACCATAAAACAAATATTCTTAGCGCTGTCTATCAATTCGGTTTCCTATTAGTAAATAAATGTGAAAATTCAATCAGAGAGCAAAGATATCCGACAAGGCATCTTATTTCTCGTTATAACCAATAATTCATTTATTTATTTTAGGAATTTAATCGATTTTTGACCTATCTTGAAAAATCAAACTTGTCAACCAAACAGGTTCAAAAGCACACTGGTATTTTTATTGGTGGAGGCAATAGTGTGCATACTGCGTGCTGTGTTTAAGGTTTCAAACGGATGGGCAAGCAATATAGCAGACCAGGTTCAAAGGAGAGATACCCTTCTCGTTTAAAGGGGGATTCAAAGCTATTTTCCTACAACGCTAAGTACATTGGCTCGATGCAGATCGGCCATGTCGCCTTTTATTGGCCAACATGTCTACATAAAATTTTTGTAGTGAAATCTAAAAAAATGTAACCTGTTCATCAGTTGATGCTTGATGGCCAAATCATTCTCTTCGGCCAGCACCATGACGGAGTTCTCTGAAGTGGTGCCATGAATCCAATTGGCACCAAGTTCTACAAATGAGCTCCCAAAGTCCTCAGTACGGCACCTGCCGCCGATCCTGTGCATAAACAAAGAAACACCATTGTAAAACAGAATAATACTCAGGCTTATATACAGGGTATTATACTGTTTGCTTCGTACGACAAGGCCGATAAACTCTTGAAAAGGGAGAAGACACAAATCGGTTCTCAAATCATGATTTAAATTTAATAGCAAACAAAGAGAGGTGCATTTATTCTTTTTGATGTGTCTTTTCCCCTCTAAATTAAATCTCTCTCTAAATAGCGGCCAGCACTAATTAAGACATCAAAGTCACTGGTTAGCTAACTTGTGTTGTAAATTCAACATAAAGAAGAAGACACATCTGATCTTCTGTTTCTTTCGTCAAAAAATTAAAAATTAATAAATAAATAAATAAATAGAAATAAAAATAAAAAACACACCTCATGTAACGGGTAGTTAAGGGATCCATATTTAACGGAAACACAGTGTGTAGGCCCTGTACATCAGGTACATAAACATGTATATGTGCTTGAATTCACTGTACCTGTTACTGGCTTCAAGTATCAGGAAGTCCTCAAAGTCCGCTGCTGTGAGGGTCTCCGCCACAGTAAGTCCAGCGATTCCGGCCCCAATGATGACCACGCCGTAAACCTTGTCCGAGGTTTTATCTGAAGACATGCTGGCACTTACAGCTTGTACGTTGTCAGAATCTTGTCAGTTCCGCTTGAAGAGTTAATTAGTCAACCTAACCTGATGCAAAGATATCAGCAGTATAATCTTCAATCTGCTAGGCTGGAAACAAGAAGTCTTACAACTCCTTGCTACAACTAAGCTATTATAGTCTATAATCTCATGCTTTGTTCAAGTACAGTGTTTTCTGTTGCTGACCGTAAATATTTTATTGTGACTCCATGATAGTTTGACAATTCTGATATAATATTTTGATCACGAGGGGAAAATGATTTATTTAATGCTTATTTTACTGTTGGTAGGGTGCATTTTCCCCGTTTTTTTATATTCAGTGACAAGCAAACTAAAGTCGCTCAAAAACAATTAACTGCTCTATACAGATGATTATTATAATTTTTTACATCGTTATACTCGTAGGAGATAAATCAAAGAACAAAACTATTGATGACTGAATTTTCAAAGTGGGTACAATGATTCACAGCTAGACGTTTTGCATTTGTGACAGTGAAGTATGTTCCTTTTTGGGGATAGACGATTGTTCATGGTTCCAGGAGAGTGAAACTTTGATACAGACTTCTTCATGTAGGACCCTAAAATATTCATACATAGTTTGCAGACTAAAAATTTTTAAGAGCAGGCCTGTGACCTCAATTGCACCTCTAAACTGGGTTAGGGTGAACAATGTTTCCGCCCCGGTCGGTTTCTATAAGCCGACAGGGTTTTCACAAAATTGAGCTACCACTTGAATTTCTTGTGCATAACCGTAAAGTGCGTTAAGTTCAGTCAAGTGCTACTTGTCACCTACATATAGGACAACTTTCTTCGTCCAAGGTGACACCTGCAATATGTAAGTGTGAAATCGCACCCAGTGGGAAAAGCAAGGGGTATGTCTGACGAAGAACACATTTGCCTGATAATCTCAAATCCCACAGAGGTCCTTTGTAGAATTTTGTAAACGTTACAGGTAGAAAACCCTCTGGTTGAGAGTTAAAGCATGTAGCACTCATGTTGTTGTTTTTTCATAATGCAAATATGTTCAAAACAAATATGTTTCAGATGATGCTCCATGTTACATAAAATTAGTGTTTATATTTAATAATATTTAACTGAGTAACACTCACAGTAACAATGCGTATACCTTCGTTCCGGTTTTTGTCCCCTCCTCCATTGGTTATTGTGCCTCCCTGGAAGGTCCAATAAATGCGAGTGTCACCGCCTTCAACAATCTGGCTGTAATATCCTGTAGTTTCAGCAGTTCTTTATTGGGTGGTTAATAGCTTATTACGCATGCGCAATCTGCAAAAGAGAGCATTGCAGCAGAGTGAAACAACAAGTGTAATATTAGTGCAGGGCAGTTTTTGTCATTTCTTGTTTTAAAACGTGTTACTCCATAATCAGCCTCCTGTTGTTGTATTCCCTCTACCATGCTCCAATGACAAGTTTTTAAAATCCAGAACCTACGTAGGAAATGATACCAATCCCTACAACCTGTACTTGGGATTCTAATCCAACACACGTTTTAACACATCACACATCAGGGATATAGGGGAATAGCGGATGGCGTGTTTTAGATCCCATTGCCATACTTAGATCGATCTAAAAGGATCTTTGGGGCCATTCAGAATAGAAGATCCGATTATCAACTGGTCCAAGGCTCAAATATGGCGGACCCTACATGAAAGGTCGAATGGAACCGAGATTTAATTACTGTTCCCCTGCAGAGACGACGCGGGGGGGGGGGGGAGCGTGTGGGAGGCGGCGAGACCATTAGAGGATTAAGCTGTCTTCCTTTCACGTAGGGTTCGCCGTATTTGAGCCTTGGACAAGTTGATACTCGGATCTTTCATTCTGAATGGCCCCTTAGTGATATTGCCTCTTAAACAAGGGTGTCATTCTGATACACTGTACAAGCGGGTGCTACTGAAAGTGACGGCGTGTCGTTTCATGAAGATCATATCAATCCAATATTATACAACGCAAACAGAGATGGTATTGTCGATCATGAGAATTCCTGCATCCTTTGTTCACATTTAATCTACGGCCCACAATACAGGTATATTATCTTCTAACCGAGATTTAATCAAATGTAAATGACAGTACATATTGTACAGTATACCGGTTCTTTTAGTTTAAAGTTAACAATTTTGTAGCTACAATGTACATTGTACAGCTGTATGTACAGTGGACTAGGAGTGCTTGTAACTGCGGACACAAAATACACATTGTGTGCGAATGTCATTGTAACTGCAGGCCTTGGAGGATTCGTTTGTTTTATTCGTCTTTGGACACGTTTGGCGGTTCGAACAATATAGGATAATTACAATCGTACATGTATTTGAAAGTTCGCAGTTAACGAATTTATCAATAATCCCCCCACCACCACCACCAAAAAAAAAAAAAAAAAAAAAAAAAAAACTTGCTCCTCTTACAAGCGAACAAATTTTAGCAATCCGTGTATATGTTGCCTGTCAAACGTAAACGCCTTGTACCTGCTCGAATATCCACTGGACATATGCCATGATGGATTAAAACTTGACTCTTAGTAATAGGGTGGTAATGAATTCAATCAAAACATGAACAAAATCTGATAAGCATTGAGCCTAAACTTGTCTGCCAGTTATATATTCTCTAATCAGTTTCAATCCGGACCCAACGCCCACCTCACTAAACCGAGACCATGGCCTCTAAGGTCGTGACCAAGATCCATAGATGGTTGACCATAGATTTGACTAATGTCTTACAGTTTTCCAAGTAACGAATAACTATGTTTTATTATTTGTCTAGAGACACTGAATACCTTCTTTCAAAGGATTTTAATAATTGATTAATGATTATTACGGTTTCTTTCATATCAAATTGACGGCTGTTTGATAAAAAGTGAAGATATAATACCAAATGCATTTATAACAGTATGAGGGCTGCTGAGTTTCATCTGTACACCATATGCATGTTGCACTGACATGCCATTATGCATGTTATCATTTATGCATACATAAAAGAACATGGCAATTTTTGACCAAACCTCTGAAATTACTTTTTTAATTTAGAAAGGACGTGACCTTTTGATTTTGATTTGCAATTTTGATTTTTGATATCATTATTTAAAATGTTTGGTGGGCACTTGAATCTACTCCAAATTTTTGAAGTATTCTCGTAGCTTCGCGAACGCCAGACTCGCGCGCTCCATGCATTGTAGAATGGTACTTTGTATGAGTGGCTTCGCCACCAAAAAGGACTCTTAATCGACCATTGGAATCCGTCAAGGGTTCGGCTAGAGAGCTAAAGTGACTGGAATCTGACTGCATTCCCGGGCACGAGTACGAGCCCAGTGTGTGCTGGTTGGTGCCCCAGGCTGACCAAATCACCCTAGCAGGTTTCGGGATAGAGGGGTCTCCGAGGAACTGGCGTAGAAGGCTGGTGCAGGTTTCTGAAATGTCTTCCTCAGAGAGGTGCTCCATGTGATACGCCTCGTTGCATGAGATCCACACGCAGAGGCAGCTAGGGTTGAAATAGACGTCATCAAAGGAAAATATTCTCTTGTACCACTGGCTTTTTGGGTCAGTGATGACGGCCTCATCGTCGTCCCACGCAAGCTTGACACTACCAAAACCTACTTCAGAAGACCAAAATGGACGGTCATAGTGAAGAAATATTTTGTCTACTAACCCAAAATCCAAGCCATGAATAGCTTCGATTTTTTCCTGTGGAAGGGATGGTTGGAAAAGATTTCGGTGATGTTCTTTCAGGTATCCCAGCGACACCGTGACGACGACACATTTGGCTAGATAGATGTCGCCACTGGAACACCTGACTTCAACTGGATCATCTCCCCAGCTGATCGAGGTCGCCTGCTTTTCAATGTTAAGCCTCCCCTCACATCTAAAGCGCGATATGATTGCATTAACTAACGACCTCGTGCCCTTTGGAATGAGAACGTCTCCTCCTTCTATTTCGGGAGCCATACTGCATAATTCGAGCGGAATGTTGGCGATTTCCACTCCCCAGTGAAATCGTAGATAGTTGGAAAAACAGTTAAAGATGGCAATTATATCTGCTCTCTCAGCTGCTGGGAACTTTTTTAGATTTTCTTGTAACCTTTTGACATAATGGTCTCTCATGGTGAAAAGGGTTTTATCTCCTTTATTGGGGCATGGCTGTCCTGTTTCCACTTCGGCCTCGATCTCTTTAAAGAGAGCCCAGACTTTGGCACCCAGTTCTTTATCAATTTGTCTGCCATTACTCCTGTAGAAATATCCACGGGCCCTGTAAATAATGATGAGAGTACATAACACTCCTTTACAAGAAAGCGATTCTTAGAGATGTTTGTCAAAAGGTCGTGTTTAAACCATAAAAAAGAGATTCTTAGCGCTGTTTATCAATTTGGTTTCCCATAAGTAACAACAAGAAAATCATAGCAAGATAGCAAAGATCTCCCCCAAAGCAGCTTAATTATCTTTATAGCTAATAATCTATTTAACCATTTTTAGGAATATAATCGATTCTAAAATGAACCATTTATGACCTATCTTGAAAAAATCAAACTCATTTAAACTGTCAGACAAACAGAACCAAAAACATGGCTTTGTCGGCGGAGGCAATCGTTCGAAAGCGGCATTCTGGGTGTAAGGTTTCAAATGTATAGACATACAGTTCTGACAAGATCATGGGTGAGATATCTTTCTTGTGTAAAGGGGGATTTGGGGCTTTCAAGGGTGAGTAGCGTTGCCTACAAAGCTGTGTTTATTGACTCCATGCAAATAGGCCATTTTGTTGTCCATCATATCTACATAAAACCTTTGCAGTGGAATCTAAAAAAAATATGTAACCTGTTCATCAGCTGATGCTTGTTGGCCAAATCATTCTCTTCTGCTAGCACCATGATGGAGTTCTCTGAAGTGGTGCCATGGATCCAGTTGGCACCAAGTTCTACAAATGAGCTTCCGAAGTCTTCAGTGCGGCACCTACCGCCGATCCTGCCAATTAACCAAGAAAATCATTGTCAAACGGAAAAACGCTCAGACTTTTATATTATACTGTCTGTTTCATACGACAAGATCGATAAGCTATTGAAAAGGGAGAGGGTTCAGAAAGGCTCTCAAATCATAATTTGAAATGCTTCAAATCTAACTATGACCAAGGAACATGATTTGATCGACTTAATTACTAGAAAACAAAGAGACGTACATTTGTTGTCTTTGCTGTCTTTCCCTCCTTAATTAACCCTTTTCATGGTGCTCAGCACAAATTAAGACACCGAAGTCACATGGTAGCTTGTTTATTTTAAACATATTGAAAAGAAAACTATTTTATTTGAAATTATTGTAAATGCAACTTTAAGAAGACACACCTGACTGTCTTGTGCCAAAAATTCCATTTTTAAAGCAAACATTGTCAAAGTCGGTTTGGCCTCCAATAATGATATGGACATGCATTACAGGCAAAGTCAAGCCACAGTAAAGCACTCTGAGAACTATCTTAAAGAAAAATTGATTAATTTGGTACGTGGTATTTATATGTTTTTCAGTCCTCTCCTCGCTTTTGATCTACCCCCCTCCCCCGTTTTATTGAGCCAAATATTACCAGTACTAGTATTACAGTCTATACTATATAATTGCTCTCTATCCTCACGGTTAGCGACACCACACCTCTTGTAACGGGTAGTTAAGGGATCCACATTTATCGCAAATACGGTGTGTATATACCCGGTACATCAGAAACATGAACATGTATATGTGCTTGAATTCACTGTACCTGTTACTAGCTTCAAGTATCAGGAAGTCCTCAAATCCCGCTGCTGTGAGGGTCTCCGCCACAGTAAGTCCAGCGATTCCTGCCCCAATAATGACCACGCCGTACACCTTGTCTTGGCTCTCGTCTGCACTGTTTGAAGACATGGTGGCATCTACTAGTACAGCATATCCTCAGACAGTCTGAGTTCTCTGTACATGTAGCTTGTGCTACGGTGTATCGATCTGAGCTAAAACAAATTGCTCTCTAAGATCTGACCTTTGGACCCCAGTTATATAACTGAGGGTATCATAGTGTTTGCCTACCCTTAGGTGATAAGCACATGACACAGGGCACACTGAAGGCTTGCACCCCATTTCCATAGATTAGATCGACCTACTTTAGATCGACCTAACTCCCTGGGGGTTCACGCTAAATAGCTGTCAGCCGGGCGGACACGAAAGTTAATTACCCCCTTACTGCTTGTAGTAGGCGGGACGGACATTTAAGTCGGATTATCTGAAAGTAATCTAGTGAGACTCCCCGCGGGGATAGATCGATCTAAAATCTATGGGAATAGAGCCATAGAGCACACAGATGGCTTGGATACACAAGGATCTATTTACTTAAGATTGTCGGCATGGGGTATCTGTAGGAAAATGAAAGCTTGTCTGCAACATCTCTTACGCAATGCACGTACATGTACTAGTATAATGATTCGTGACTAAACACTCTAAGTAAAAAACCATATTAGATGCGGGGACTTGGATGACGAGGTGCGATATTTTATTTCCATGCTGTACCGACATTATGTTTGCACGCGTAAATTTACACGAGTCTGATTCAGACGCTTGAGGGCAAAAGTTTGCAGTCAGCACTTTAATCAACAATTAGAATACGTGGTGGAAATACAAATATACCCTTTTAATGGCGACGAACACATTTTTAGCACTTTGTGCACCTGTTGCCTGTCAAGGCGACACCTGCTCAGATATTCACTGCAAAGATCACGGCACGACCCTTAGTAAAGAGAGTGAATAAGAAACAGACTGTTTTTCTCTCTTTCTATTATTATTTTTTTGGGGGGAGGGAGAATTTTTTTATTCATCATCACAGATATCAATCATATCAGTAGCCATTATAATTCATTAAAATAAATGTGAATTCGCATGAAATGCCTGAAAATTGAACATAAATCGTACAAATTTCATTTGATTCTGACGCATTGCGCCATTTGGGAATTTTTTTTTATTTTAATTCTTATTTATTTATTTTTTTTAAACATCTTTATTCTCAAGAGGGTTAAATATTGATACAGTATAAATAAAGGTGGCAAATCGCCTAGGCATTATATGCTCACCTTTGGAATTTAATAATAATAATTTGGGAAATGAGGCACCAGGGGGTTATGGAATATCAATCAAAATGGAGATATAGGAGTAAGTCTGTACTCTAGTACAGTACTTGGAACCAGGTACAGTATAACCACATTAAGCCGGGTTATTTTCACCCATACTAGGTCCTCATGTGACTAGAGGCAATGTTTTGTTATGTACATAATCCAAACCTGTTTTTGACATGCTCCATAATCTTGCGTGTCTTGTCTTAATGCATTTCTTTCAAACAAAATCCGTTCCCAAAAAGATATTGAGCCATGCATCTGACTCATCTACTAAAGTCTCAAAGCAAAGCATAACTCTGCTTTATCATCTTATTTAAAGGTCACGATAACTGCTTACATATTATTCTGAAGCTGTAAGTAATAAAGGTCAAAGCACCTTACTTTATTTTTTTAATATGGTTGCACTTGTGATGTTTAGTTTCCGTATTCAAAAGACACTTATTATATGACCTGTCAAACATTAAGACAAGACAAATGACAACCAAATGCTTCTTCCTTACGCACTGATTTTGAGATTCCCGCGGAGAATTCATTTACAATACATTTGAACGAAAATTCTGCATTGCAGAGGTGTTTTACATATGGTTTTATTTGCTAACTCCTGATATCGATACATGATAATCAAAAATAAGGGACACGTGTCCAATACGTGTATCAGCATACAAACTGGCTTATCGCACTTTCACACATTATTTACAAGTTCTACTATAAATGGCTTCTACAGTATAAGGCTTCGNGATTCAGACGCTTGAGGGCAAAAGTTTGCAGTCAGCACTTTAATCAACAATTAGAATACGTGGTGGAAATACAGATATACCCTTTTAATGGCGACGAACACATTTTTAGCACTTTGTGCACCTGTTGCCTGTCAAGGCGATACTGCTCAGATATTCACTGCAAAGATCACGGCACGACCCTTAGTAAAGAGAGTGAATAAGAAACAGACTGTTTTTCTCTCTTTCTATTATTATTTTTTTGGGGGGAGGGAGGATTTTTTTATTCATCATCACAGATATTAATCATATCAGTAGCCATTATAATTCATTAAAATAAATGTGAATTCGCATGAAATGCCTGAAAATTGAACATAAATCGTACAAATTTCATTTGATTCTGACGCATTGCGCCATTTGGGAATTTTTTTTTATTTTAATTCTTATTTATTTATTTTTTTTAAACATCTTTATTCTCAAGAGGGTTAAATATTGATACAGTATAAATAAAGGTGGCAATTCGCCTAGGCATTATATGCTCACCTTTGGAATTTAATAATAATAATTTGGGAAATGAGGCACCAGGGGGTTATGGAATATCAATCAAAATGGAGATATAGGAGTAAGTCTGTACTCTAGTACAGTACTTGGAACCAAGTACAGTATAACCACATTAAGCCGGGTTATTTTCACCCATACTAGGTCCTCATGTGACTAGAGGCAATGTTTTGTTATGTACATAATCCAAACCTGTTTTTGACATGCTCCATAATCTTGCGTGTCTTGTCTTAATGCATTTCTTTCAAACAAAATCCGTTCCCAAAAAGATATTGAGCCATGCATCTGACTCATCTACTAAAGTCTCAAAGCAAAGCATAACTCTGCTTTATCATCTTATTTAAAGGTCACGATAACTGCTTACATATTATTCTGAAGCTGTAAGTAATAAAGGTCAAAGCACCTTACTTTATTTTTTTAATATGGTTGCACTTGTGATGTTTAGTTTCCGTATTCAAAAGACACTTATTATATGACCTGTCAAACATTAAGACAAGACAAATGACAACCAAATGCTTCTTCCTTACGCACTGATTTTGAGATTCCCGCGGAGAATTCATTTACAATACATTTGAACGAAAATTCTGCATTGCAGAGGTGTTTTACATATGGTTTTATTTGCTAACTCCTGATATCGATACATGATAATCAAAAATAAGGGACACGTGTCCAATACGTGTATCAGCATACAAACTGGCTTATCGCACTTTCACACATTATTTACAAGTTCTACTATAAATGGCTTCTACAGTATAAGGCTTCGTTCACATGCAATGTCTATTTTCTAAATTCTATTTTCTATTCGCGGCATGTGTTGTGATCACGGTCTGTGCCCTGAATATCCCGCGGCGTAATTACTGGCAGCACGAGCCAGTTACTATAAGTTACTATAAGTAACTGGCTCGCGCTGCCAGTAATTACGCGGCGGGATATTCAGGGCACAGACCCTGATCATAAGATAGCGCGAATAGAAAATAGATTTTTAGAAAATAGACATTCCATGTGAACGAAGCCTAAATGTACTTTAAATGCAGCGGGATCTTTCGACCCTCGTGAAAATATGTAATAAAGATCGCACACTCTAACTTGCCCCAGCCGTAGTCAAAACATATCTCAACACTAACACCCCATTTCCATAGATTAGATCGACCTACTTTAGATCGACCTAACTCCCTGGGGGTTCACGCTAAATAGCTGTCAGCTGGGCGGACACGAAAGTTAATTACCCCCTTAAAGCTTGTAGTAGGCGGATCTTACATTTAAGTCGGATTATCTGAAAGTAATCTAGTGAGACTCCCCGCGGGGATAGATCGATCTAAAATCTATGGGAATAGAGCCTAACATTAAATACGATATAAGATACATTTGTTCTTATATATTTATATGAATTACGTAAATAATTGCAGTAATATTTTTGCTGCTAGACAGTCTGATTAATTTTAGACTTACACTTGGTTCCCATACCTACATCGATCTAATAGATCGATCCAACTCCGAGGGGTTTCTCTGTAAATTGCTTTCAGCTTAAGCGGCTTTCATGTCTGGCACGCCTACTGAAGTTGCTAAACGACAATTAATTACCCCCAGCAGCTTCAGTTGACGTGACAGAAATCTAAGCTGTTTAAGCTGATTGCAATTTAGTGAGGGTCCCCCCGGAGATAGATCAATCCACAGTTATTACGATAGGGTCTGGGAACGGTCCCTTAACTTGTACAGATAGGCCCATCTTTCTGCCACCAGCTGCATTACAAGTGATCATCTCTCAGTTTTTATGTTTGAGACGGCATAAGACAATGAGTGGTTGATAATTTCATTTTACGGCCATTTATATGGCGTCGAGGCCGTAGGCTGTATTACATATCCATGCTTCTTTGCAGCTTGTGCCGATTGTCTTATTTCAGGAAGACGAATTTGGCGATATATTAGAAATATATTGTGCAAGCCATATAGGCCGATGGAATTTCAGCTTACTCCAAGGCGACGTAGAAAATGGATGAGTAATTTGCAATCCCCTGTCATTTAAAAGTCACCTGGGGGCTGGAGATAATTATAAACCATCCTTTTGTAATTATTGATACCATATCTGATTAATGTGATCTGCTCATGTTTGTGCTTCCAGAGTGGAAAAAGTTAATTCATCCAGAAAATGTGAACATCATCAATTTCGTAGATTCACATTTACGTCAGTGTACTTAGTTAAGACAACGCTATTCAAAACAAAACCGGCATGTCCACCATCCTGTGCAAGCGTCAACCACAATGTGACAGTTGTCCTTTGGATCATTTGTGCCAAAAATATAGCAGTTTGCAGTTAATCATCAGTATAGGTTTGATGTAATGATTATTGATGATCAAAAACATCCGTTCATCTTTTTCCGCGCTTGCAGCAAAGGCAGCAGACGGTCACCGACAGGATGACGATGAAGACCATCACTGCGCAGACGATGCCGATGAACCCGCCGATTCCAAGCTGAAACAGGCTCCCGATGATAATTTCCCAATCTGAAATTGAATACGGACTACTTAGATAAAATTTTGACATGAAATGATTAAAATACATGCGTACGTTTTAAGACGAGATTGGTAAAAAAAACTCTGTATTATAACATTGAAGATGTAAATAAAAACAAAATGAAAAAGTAAACATTATATCAAAGTAGTTTTACTCTAGATCAACCTAGAATATCCATATAACTATACATCTCACCACATAACTATACACTTCGGCAAAACAATCACATTATGAAACAACACTATTAGTCTGCTTTAAAATAATGCTAGTAATTAATCTCATATAAGGTGAGGGTAACTTGAACCTACGTCCCATACTTGCGCAGTATTAAATAATCTTATCCTCATGAAATTTGTGACTCTTAATCTCGCAACAAAAACAGCATCTGTATTCAGTTAACGGGCGGGATGCTGACAACCAAGAACTCCTACCTTTCTTTCTAATTTGCTGGCATCAGACAAAAATATTTAAAACCACCTCCCCCACCTCCCCGTATTGACACCAGAGGACAGGTGGGTACATACCTCAGAGTTTATAATATTTCAAACTACAGCATTATACATGAAAAACTGTCTTTACAGTTACACACATGTATATCAGCCTTAGTCATTAAATCAGGTCTGATGTAGCCGGGGGAAGGGGGGTCCAAAGAATGACCTTTTTGCTGGGAAAATGTCCACTCTGTGTTAATTTGATCTAAGTTAACACAGGTTTCATGAAAAAAGGTCCACATTTTCAGAAAAATTAACCCCCCTTTTGCAATTGCTGGTTAAGGGCCTGTTAAATTGACTTAATTTGGTTTTCCTGTTTACTATTAATGAACTGGTTTAAAGTTATAATGTTATTGGAAGATAATTTATCGAGGATAATTCATGACAAAAAATATTTAATGGCAGGTGCCTACTTGTACACATCTCTTCGTCCTCTCCCGCGTTGCACTGGTGTATTCCATCACAACGCAATCTGGCGTCTATACACCTGTTCTCTGCCTTACAGTCAAACTCCTGGTCCAAGCACGGCGCTGGGATATAGGGGATAATGTGACAGGTGTGACAGGTGTAAATGTCATAATAACAACGTTATTGAGGAGAGAAAGAGAGAGAGAGACAGAGAGAGAGGAAGAAGGAAAAAAGTGATATTTTTTTGAGGACATGTATAAATAATTTACGGAGAAAATTAAAGTTATGTAAGTGCGCGCGCGTGTGTTTGTGTGAAAGAGAGAGAGAGAGAGAGAGAAAGAAAGAGTGAAAGACAGAGAGAAAGAAAGATAGTACAAAAGATAGTGGCAATTTTCAAACAAAAATTAAGCTTTTACTTCCTCGACTTAATTAACGAACACACATCATCATCTATCAATGGTAATTATTTGAATAAGGAGTAAACCAGTTTATTCACACTCTCCGTACATTATTTTCATCTTTGATTTTTATGAAAAAAAAACAAAGATAAACTATTAAAACTCTATAAAATTAATTTGGCACGTGTAGGAGTAGAAGTCACAAATACATGGAAGCTTTTCGGAGGGGAAAGTTTTGGTCCATAAAATTAAACACACTCACGTGGTCCTGTCTTCACCGCCAAAAAGACGAACCCTTTGGCTTCTGCCTTGTTGTCGGTAGAGAACACAAGAGTGGTGTACCTCTGCGTGGAGCGGTCCCTGACGTTAGGGAAACTCGTGCCGCAGAATCTTCCCAGCAGAGCCAACCGGTTGTTAGCGTCTGCGGCGTCGTAGATATCTAAGTAATCCGTGCAATTGCGGCCGACAGGGAATTGCAGAGAAAATTTTTCGAATATTATCTTGTATCTGAAATGATGTATCTAAAATTATTCCATATGTCTCATGATAAAAGGGAATTACTACGTACTCATTTAGGTCTACATTTTTAGATATTTTATTCGATGATGGATTTTGTCACATGAGCATTTCAATTGTTTTCAAATGTACTTTCACCTCTAAAAATCCCGAAACAATCTACATGATTTTCAATACGGCATGTTAACACATAAACGCGAAGCTAAATTCTGTACGCTATTTTGACCATCTGTTTTATTTCCAATTGCTACTATCCATAATGATGATAATAATATCATAAACAAAGAGTCAACGCTGGTAGGCCCCACTCAAAAACATATATATATATATATATATATATATATATATATATATATATATATATATATATATATATGTTTTTGAGTATATATATATATATATATATATATATATGTTTTTGTATATATATATATATATATATATATATATATATATATATATATATATATATATATATATATATATATATATATATATACAGACTTGACATTTAATATGGAATATTTCAGTTTCGAAGGTATACCTAGTTAAAAATAAGTTATTTTTTCAAAAAACTCCGATCTCATATAAGNACACCCTTAAAGCTTGTAGTAGGCGGATCGGACATTTAAGTCGGATTATCTGAAAGTAATCTAGTGAGACTCCCCGCGGGGATAGATCGATCTAAAATCTATGGGAATAGAGCCTAACATTAAATACGATATAAGATACATTTGTTCTTATATATTTATATGAATTACGTAAATAATTGCAGTAATATTTTTGCTGCTAGACAGTCTGATTAATTTTAGACTTACACTTGGTTCCCATACCTACATCGATCTAATAGATCGATCCATCTCCGAGGGGTTTCTCTGTAAATTGCTTTCAGCTTAAGCGGCTTTCATGATAATTAATTACCCCCCAGCAGCTTCAGTTGACGCGACAGAAATCTAAGCCGTTTAAGCTGATTGCAATTTAGTGAGGATTCCCCCGGAGATAGATCAATCCACAGTTATTACGATAGGGTCTGGGAACGGTCCCTTAACTTGTACAGATAGGCCCATCTTTCTGCCACCAGCTGCATTACAAGTGATCATCTCTCAGTTTTTATGTTTGAGACGGCATAAGACAATGAGTGGTTGATAATTTCATTTTACGGCCATTTATTTGGCGTCGAGGCCGAAGGCTGTATTACATATCCATGCTTCTTTGCAGCTTGTGCCGATTGTCTTATTTCAGGAAGACGAATTTGGTGATATATTAGAAATATATTGTGCAAGCCATAGGCCGATGGAATGTCAGTTTACTCCAAGGCGACGTAGAAAATGGATGAATAATTTGCAATCCCCTGTCATTTTAAAGTCACCTGGGGGCTGGAGATAATTATAAACCACCCTTTTGTAATTATTGATATCATATCTGATTAATGTGATCTGCACATGTTTGTGCTTTCAGAGTAGAAAAAGTTAATTCATCCAGAAAATGTGAACATCATCAATTTCGTAGATTCACATTTACGTCAGCGTGCTTAGTTAAGACAATGCTATTCAAAACGAAACCAGCATGTCCGCCATCCTGTGCACGCGGCAATCACAATGTGACTGCTGTCCTTTGGATCTTTTGTGACAAAAATATAGCAGTTTGCAGTTAATCATCAATATAGGTTTGATGTTATGATTATTCATGATCAAAAACATCCGTTCATCTTTTTCCGCGCTTGCAGCAAAGGCAGCAGACGGTCACCGACAGGATGACGATGAAGACCATCACTGCGCAGACGATGCCGATGAACCCGCCGATTCCAAGCTGAAACAGGCTCCCGATGATAATTTCCCAATCTGAAATTATGTAAATTAAATAAAGACTATTTAGATTAAATTTTGTCACGAAATTATAAAAAATACATGCGTACGTTTTAAGACGAGATTGGTAAAAAATACTATGTGTATAATGACATTGATGATGTAAATAAAAACATTCTGTCAAAGTAGTATTACTCCAGATCAACCTAGAATATCCATATACATCAGGTCCTTAAAGCTGACATCCCTCGGCAAAACAATAACATGAAGCAACAATATTAATCTGCTTTAAAATAATGCTAGTAATAAATCTAATACCAGCATTAAGCATAGGTGAGGTAATGTTAACTTAAACCTACATCCCATACTTGTGAGGCATTAAAAAATGTCTTATCCTCATGAAATGTATGACTCCTGATCTCGCAACAACAACAACAACAACAACAGCAACCTCTGTATTCAGTTAACGGGTGAGGATTCTGCATCATTTTCTGAGAATCAAAAACTCCTACCTTTCTTTCTAATTTTCTGGCATCAGACAAAAATATTTAAAACCACCTCCCCCACCTCCCCGTATTGACACCTGACGACAGGTGGGTATATACCTCAGAGTTTATAATATTTCAAACAACAGCATTATATGCATGTATGAAAAACTGTCTTTACAGTAACAGTCGTACCCAAATTAAAATCAGCCTTAGTCATTAAATCAGGTCCGTAGCCGGAGGGAGGATGGGGGGGGGGGGGGTCGAAAGAACCACCTTTTTTGCTGGGAAAAGGTCCACTTTGGGTGAATTTGATCTAGGTTCACTAAGGTTTCATGACAAAAAGTCCACATTTTTAGAAAGTCATATGTTATTGGAAGATAATTTATCGAAGATAATTCATGACAAAAGATATTTAATGGCAGGTGCCTACTAGTACACATCTCCTCGTCCTCTCCCGCGTTGCACTGGTGTATTCCATCACACCGCAATCTGGCGTCTATACACCTGTTCTCTGCCTTACAGTCAAACTCCTGGTCCAAGCACGGCGCTGGAATATAGGGAATAATGTGACAGGTGTGAATGTCATAATAACAACGTTATTGAGGAGAGAGAGAGAGAGAGAGAGAGAGAGAGAGAGAGGAAGAAGGAAAAAAGTGATATTTATATGAGGACATGTATATTAATGTAAAATAATTTACGGAGAAAATTAAACGTGAAGTTTTGTAAGTGCGCGCGCGTGTGTGTATGTGTGAAAGAGAGAGAGAGAGAGAGAGAGAGAGAGAGAGAGAGAAAGAGAGTGAAAGTCAGAGAGAAAGAGAGATAGTACAATGGCAATTTTCAAACAAAAATTACACTTTTACTCCCTTGCCTTAATTAATGAAAAAACATCATCATCCATCTCGATGGTAATTATTCGAATAAGGGGCAAACCAGTTTATTCACACTCTCCGTACATTTTTTTCATCTTTGATTTTTATTAAAAAGTAAAGATAAACTATTAAAACTCTATAAAATTAATTTGGCACGTGTAGGAGTAGAAGTCACAAATACATGGAAGCTTTTCGGAGGGGAAAGTTTTGGTCCATAAAATTAAACACACTCACGTGGTCCTGTCTTCACCGCCAAAAAGACGAACCCTTTGGCTTCTGCCTTGTTGTCGGTAGAGAACACAAGAGTGGTGTATCTCTGCGTGGAGCGGTCCCTGACGTTAGGGAAGCTTGTGCCGCAGAATCTTCCCAGCAGAGCCAACCGGTTGTTAGCGTCTGCGGCGTCGTAGATATCTAAGTAATCCGTGCAATTGCGGCCGACAGGGAATTGCAGAGAAAATTTTTCGAATATTATCTTGTATCTGAAATGATGAGAATATCTTATTCCACATGTCTCATGATAAAAGGGAATTACTATGTACTCATTTATGTTTAGGTCTACATTTATAGGTATTTTATTCGATGATGGATTTTGTCAAATGAGCATTTCAGTTGTTTTCAATTGTCCTTTCACTTCTAAAAATCCCGAAACAAACTATATGACTTTCAATACAGCATGTTAACACATAAACGCACAGCTAAATTCTTTTGTCTGTAAGCTATTTTGACCATCTGTTTTAAATCAATTGCTACTATCCATAATGATGATAATAATATCATAAACAAAGAGTCAACGCTGGTAGGCCCCACTCAAAAACATATATATGTTTTTGAGTATATATATATATATATATATATATATATATATATATATATATATACACACACACACACACACACACACACACACACACACACAGAGAGAGAGAGAGAGAGAGAGAACAAACCTGAACCCTTCCCCTGCGTCCAGCACAACCTTACACCAGTTCTTGGAGGCGTAGTTAGCCAGCCCCAAGGTGTCCGCGTGCGACATGAGGCGCATGCACACGTCCGTCAGCGTCTGTCCACACACGCCGTTAAACGCTTCTTGCTGATGGACGTCCATGTAAACTGTAGAGAATGATATTTATTAAACTACAAGAATGAAAAAAAAATTACTCTGTTTAATAATTACTTGAAAACTTTTATGGCGAAGAGTGTCACCTGGACACTCGACATGGGGGAAGAAATGATAATTATTCGATAAGGTTTAAGAAATCATAATAAACGTTAAGAAATTATAATAACGTTATAGCTTTGCAATAACCTTGTATAAGATTCAGGTATAAAAAGTCAAGAAATGGACACTTCATACTAATAATTCGGTGAGTGGTGTGAATTAGGGTCGTTAAAGTCTCATTTCAAGAGGTGTTCGTGTGAGCTATTTTTAACGCACGCACACGTATACACGTACGCACACGCGTGCACAAAAAGTGAAACATACCACCCACAAACACAGCCATGAACACGCACGTGAACACGAACATACACTAATGGACAAAGAAAGAAGATCAATCAATAAATAAAAAAATAGATAAGACAAATAAATAAATAAATAAATAAATAAATAATTCGGAAAAGAAGTAATCCAATACTCGTAGGAAGGACAGGGAACTGTAAGATGTTCATCGTTACGGAATTTTAGGAGGAAGATAACAGTCAGGAAAAACCACACAGTGGTGACAAATGTATCCTATAACAAATTAATGTCATAAAAATGCCAGGTAGTCTGATTTATTGATAGGTAAATTTAGCGTGTGTACGGCGCAATAAGTCATATATAAGGGTTATCAGTTAAACGGAATGATGTCTGAATTAGGTGAGGAGCTGTCCAAGGATATAGTTCAATAATCCACATCATATTTTTATCATAAAGGACACATTTACCTATTTACCAAGTGATGTCATGAAACGGTTTCTTTGTTTATCCGAAATAAACCATTCATTTTTGTAAAATATCTTTACGGCTTCGACTTTTGAAAGATTTTAATATTTTTGCTTAATTGCATATTGTACACTCTACATGTCCGAACTTTATTTTCATTGACTCAATCAATGTATATATATACAATACTTATATTCCTCGCATTAAAGGAAAAGGGAAAAAACTCTCCTAAGTGCACCGTTAGTTCCGTTACTTGTTGAAAATCTCCACAGGCACAAATTGTTCCCACTTTGTTACTTTCAAACGATTAAAAATTAATTAATTCCACTTGCAGTAGGAAGATATAATTCAAAAACAATGTCACGACTCTACAAATTCGGGGTTTTAACATAGCGCTACTCTTTCCCGCATATTGATATGTTATGTTATTATATTATGTTAAAACATTTGTTTTTTTCTTTATCTTTATTTCTCTTTTTATATGACCATCATAAAAATAAGGATTGTTGTAATAAATTGCCTTAGCTATGACTTTATCAATAAAGGAAAAAGATGTTTATTTTCAAAGGCTACTCGAGGGAGGGGGAGGGTGCAGTTCCGGCTTCTCGTCCTCAAACGGATCTTCATCGCATAAACATGAAGAGACCCTAAATCGCTATCTAGAGGGCTTGTCACAGGAAAATACAAGCCGATGACCTCTGCAGTGACCCTTACGGTTAGAAGATGTGGTATCGCACGAACGTTCAGTTTTGGGCTTAACAGGAAGAGGGGGGTCTAAATGTAGAAAAACACGTCGCGGTTCACCTGTCGTGGGAGTAGGGTCAACTTTATCGTGTTGATTATCCGCCTAAATGTTGGTCTCTTCCTTAATGCTTGTCTCTCCCTCGGAAGGAATATACGTTATGGAAAATGTGTAACAAGACAAGCGTGTTCTCACTGAAAATCCAAAGAAAAATTCACTGTACCTTTGCTAATGTTACAGCTTATAAATGTTCAGCTGCAAGCCACCTACACCGCCTTTTAATTAAAGGGCATTGTTTGTATTTAATTAAAATTATTCGACTTTTAAATATGACTATCAAACATCAAATTACTATGACACACAGCCAGGCTTTAATATTGAGATAATTGTTATTGCTTGATATGGAAAAAAACTTATTTACTACAGCAGTATAGAAACGTTGTTGTACCTTTTTAAGGGAAAAGTAAGCGAAAGGGAATAATGATCGTGGGGCATTTTCACCGCTTGTTTGTCCACGCGACCTTTGATGCAAATCATACGCGTAACAACAGGAAGAAAGGGTAGCTAAATTAAGCTATGGAGTACTTCACGGGTGAGGGAATACGGAAACACTGTCCACTTTATTAATTTTCGTCACGCAAACCTTAGGTATGGTACGGAGAAATCGACTGTCCAGATTACACATTAGTGACCCTGGGATTTCATAGAACTTAAAATAGCCGTAAACGGATGCATAGTGGACATATCCAAGTACATGTATTGAAACGCCCTCATGGTCGAATGAATTTTCTGCGAAATATTTTTTTCCTGATAGAAAAAAATTCGATCAAACGATAAAAAGTGAGTCACCCCCGAGGCATTTTATTTTCCTAAATTATCTGTTATATACAAAGGTTGATTAAACATGCTTTTGTTGACAAATAAATCTCTTATATTAATTGTATTTGTTTGAACGGATATTTTTTTGTAAAATGTGAATTAAAGCATTGAAATTCAAATAATTGTGATTGCTTTCTGAATGGAAACATTGTGCATTTCTTACAAAAAGGCTTCTCTACAAATCATTTTAAAAGTAAATTTCTAAATTATCATAAATTAAGGTAGCATTAACAACTTTTAGTGCTACCTTTTTAAATAAAGCGATAACCAGGGAAAGATGTTTAATATTAACTGATTTTGTGAATAAATATTTTGCGCGATGAAATATGGACAATGCGTTTATAGAGTAAGACAAGAACATCATGGTCACCTAATTCTACGACCAACCCTTGTATTAATTGCCATCATTCCTTTCCTTTCCCTAATCGTGGACGCATCATTGTGCTTTTAATGCAGTAAGAGTTATAAAGCCATTAAAACAAAAATGCACTTCCTTATGGGGCGTGCTGTTTTGAAATTCATACATAATTGTTTCGGCGAACCTCGCTGAATATGAAGAAGGCTTGTCATTACGCGGTTTTTCCTTTTAAACGTATGAGGAAATTTATCTTGTCAGTCAGGTGAAATGATTGGTTAAGCCATGACAGAAAAAGTATAAAAAGGCAGTCGCGAGTCAACAGCACACGATAACCAAGATATAAACAAGAAATAACCAAGAGAGAAATAGAGATGCAGACGATGAAAGCGTTCGTGGTTCTTGTTGCCGTATTTGCAATTGAACAAGGTAAGACAATATGAACCTTAAATAATTAGTTAGCCTGTCTTAACCCATTTGTTGTTATTGCAGAAATAAATACAGTTCACAATGTTTTTCGGACTATTTGTAGATACATGCACTTACACACGATTTTAATAGCAACTCTCATATACTCTCTCTCATTTTCTCTCTCTCTCTCTCCCACATACACACACACACACACACACTGACTAAAAACAGCGAGAAATCATAGATACCTAATCCAACATGTTGTATAATGGTATATGCTTTCTTTCACAGCATCGGCGGCAGTGAATACAAATACTCTTGCCAGAGCATTACACAATAAGCTATCCAGTCTTCTGAAGCCCGAGCTTGTGTTTCCCCCGGTACCGCCAGGGGGTAACTTTAAAGTTCTACCGAAACCTGTGACGCCCAAGCTTGACTTTCTTCTTGTACTGGACAGCAGCGGGAGCATTACTGCCAAGCATTTTGAAGCGGCAAAGGACGCGTGCGAGGTAATTTTTGATACATGTGTATGTATACAGTTCACACACACACACACACACACACACACACGTATTTTTACAGGTATAAACATTTTCACTAAGAGGTACCACACAACGATCGAAAATGAATTTTTGCGGACAGGTCAATCATATGAAGTAAAAATAATAATAAGAGAAGTTACTTAGTCTAGCATTGAAAACATGACTTTTACCTTTGAAAGTAACAACATGAGAAATTATCATTCACCTCCTCTTTCATCATCATTATTATTAGTTGTCTTCTGTAGTTATACAAAATATCCTATACATTTTACGCCACAATTAAGCATTTCACAACTGTCTTTTTTTTTCAATGCGCTATACTTATTATTCAGATTCTAGTAGACTACATTCACGGCCAGTCACCGTTTGGAATGTATGGATCACGGGCCGGCCTCATCGAGTACTCCACCCAGAGCAAAACCCACGTTGAATTTTCATTCGGCGACTACAACACTGTCAGTTCTATCAAAAGCAGGATCAATCAAGTAAATTTTGATAACGGTAGGGCACGTTTTAATTCTCTCTCTCTCCCCACTTAGAATATTTTTAATGCCACTATTTTTGCAGTCCTCGCAATAGTGCTTGGAAAGTTATCATAATTGTAGACATCGCAGACCTCGTGTTGCGTGTTGGATCATCCTAATTCAATAACTTTGCTTCATAACTTATCTTACTATTTGGAAAGGTGAGAACTTCTGACGTGATTTACAACGGAATCTATTTCAGGCGGCGCCACTGCAACGGGCCCCGCACTACAGTTGGCTAAAACGGAACTGGATGTCAAAGGTCGCCCAGGCAACGTGGGAGTGGTGTGGGTAATCACAGACGGCAAATCAAACTCCGGAGTGAAACCTAAAATACCCGCCGATATTCTCAGGGCAAATGGTAAAGAAATTAGCCTCATTTTTGCTTAGTTACAAGGATAGTTATGAAGTCATTGTTGTAGCTCCAGTATCAATGTTTCAAGGAATCTCCTTCCCATTTAGTGTATCTATCTACTTATAATCTAGCAGTTACCAAATTTGCATTTTCATATCATGCTTGTACCCCTTTTCATCAAGTTTGTGCTAAATGAAATAATTTCATACATAAAAAAAAACATTTTTACATGTATGAGGTGGTCTTATACTCGAAAGCTGTCATGCTTTTGCACTGGGTTTGCTTAATTCGTCGATTGCACACCATGGTATATTTTGGCAACTATATTTATATTATTTTTCCCCACTTACGTCAAAATAATATCAAGTAGCCTGAAGCCACTATATTTATTTAAAAAAACGTCCACAATTTTGTTACAGGTGTAACGGTTTGTGTTGTTGGCGTCGGCAATTCCGTCAACGCCGTGGAGCTCAATCAGATCGGCGACAGCGGCTGCGTCTACCGAGCAGACTCGTTCGCTCAGTTGAAGACGGCAGCCAGAATGGCTTACAACCTGAGCCAACCCCGCCTGAGTTCCGGTTTCTTCAACAACCTCTCATTCAAGCGTGTTTAATGAAAACGTTTTGCGATTTCGATGCAATCATTCGAAAAACACGAAGCTTAGCTTTGCACTGTACATTCCCCAACATTTATTTTGATCACTTGGATAATCATGCAAACAAGATGGATTTGTATTTTAGCAAAGTCAATTGAGAAAATATTATTCTGACTGTGAGAAAAACATAAGCAGTAGGATTTTTTATTTATTGGAATGGTTCGTTAGACATTAAGGAAACAATACTCTGATTTATCATTCATTAATTTTATCTGTTATTTTAATGCACAAGTGTGTATGTATTTTCTCAGTGTGCTTTTGAAAGATCTCTTTTGTTTCATTTATGTTATGTCGTGTCACTTTTGACAATAAAAATGTGCTAACTGATTAAGTAGAACTTTGAATATTCTATACACACAGAAAATCAATCGAGGCGACATGGGGGTTGATAATTTAAGGAAACTCAGGACAAAGTTAAACGTGTTCAGCGAAAGGTCGATTTATAATACAGACTTGATAATTAATATGGAATATTTTTTTCTAAACCATATTTTGTCAGTTTTTTCCTACTTCGCTGACTGATAAATGAAAATAAAGATTGAAATAGTGTTTTAATAACTTTTAATAATATCTTTGATGTCATGGTGACATCACCTAATTAATTGAATTCGCCAGTGAAGCAACCAAAAATACATTGCCTATTCTAAGTCATACGACAACCATTGAAATCGATATTTTGGATCTCCATATTTTAGCGTCTTTACAAGAGTTACACGTCACACAAAGGACCTTCATGTCAATGTCTTGTCACAGCAAAGGTCGCTGTTACGCGTGACCTCATTTGGCTGCTACCAGAGCTTTCAAGCAGCAAGGCATTCCTTCGGATAGGTTTTTAGAGTTTAATCTGGAATAAAATTTGTCTAATTTGGTTCAGTATTGTTGCAGGTCGTTGATTTGGCGAGAAATGACCTACCCAAATATTGTCTAAGACGATGTGGCTCAGAAATGGCGATTTTGATGACCAAGGTAGCTGCTCATTCCCCAATGTGCACCAATGTGGTACCCTCTCCAAATACTGACGCTATTAATGACCCTTGTCCCTTAAGAAGCGGCAGACGCTTATTCGTGGGCCTATTCAGGATGTCAGTAAACTCTGTTTTGACTAGATGAGCAGTACAGATGAAAGCTGACATCAATAACGAAAGCCACGCGGTTTCAGTTAATTCATTAGAGAAAGAATCGGCACTGTTTTGCTGTATATAGTAGCTTCCTCAGAGGCCGTCTGGGATCCTTACCTGCTATAACCAGTTTCGTGTTTGCTGAGAGCCTTGAAAACGAGTGTTGGAGGCAATTTGCCCGTTATTCTAAACGGACTGGATGTTTTTTGTTTAGTTGCAGCAGCATATCCCGAAGAACAGTGAGTCCCGTACCCTGGTGATAAGATTTCGATACATTGGGCGTGACCTCTGGTACACCAGTCTGGGCATAACTGTATAAAGCTGTGCGGACCGTTCAGTGTGTCTGGCAATGCCAGTCTTTTTCGCGCCATTCTGGTACAGCTTAACAATTTTGCAAAAAGCTGCTTAACTCATTTTACTCACTGCAAAACCGACCACTTGCATGCAAAAGTTCAATTTCTTCGATGCAGTAGATGCCGACATATGGATACTTTTTTGACAGAACCGTGCTTCGTCAAAGTCAAGCTTTGACCAGCCCAAAAGAGCACTACCCAATTAAAATCACTGCCTAATACACAATGCAGAAGTGCAATAGACATGGTAGTTAATTAATTGGTAACGACACACCTGACTTCACATTTCTCAAGTCATATATCTTATATGAGATCTTAATTTTTTTTTTTTTTTGAAAAAAAGAATGCATTTGTACCAAGGTATACATTTGAAACTGAAATATTCCACATAAAATGTTAAGTCTGTATATACCTTCAGCGATCGAGTTCATTCTGCAAATGTTAAGAGCGTCCAGATTTCCTCCCTCCCACGCGTTCTAAAATGTAATTTGTAAATATGCATCTCCTAACCCGTTGACTTGTCGCTTTTAACCCCTCCTCTTATGACGAACACGTCTATTGCAGTATGGTAATAATTCATTTCATAAGAATTGCTACACAAAAGCAAATAAATATTCTTACGTTTATGACCTTCACGACCTACAATCTTCCACGTCTGCAGCAAAAGGTACAACCTAGCGCCATAAAGTGTTACCGAGATCGATACCTGTTCATATTTTCATCAGCTCTCTCTCCATCTCTCTCCCTTTTTAACACACACACACACACACGCGCACATACGCGCGCACGCACACCCGCGCACAAACAAACACTTAAATATCCTCGCATATCAAGAGCGTGTGTACGGCGCAATATGTCATATATATGGGTTATCAGTTAAGCAGTCGGTTACTGGGAGAATACGGAATGATGTGGGGGTCCATGTCAAATGTCTGTTTTGGGTGAGGCGCTGTCCAAGGATATAGTTCAATAATCCACATAATTTTTTATCATATATGACACATTTATCTATTTACCAAGTGATGCGGTGAAACGGTTTCCTTTTTTTATCCGAAATAAATCTTAATGGTTTCGGCTTTTAAAAGATTTTTATTTTTCCGATATACACATTGTAAACTACATGCCGTACTTTATTTTCATTGACTCAATCAATGTATAAATATTCAATACTCCTTTTCCTGACATTATAGTTAAAGGGAAAAATTGCCAGGTGCACCATTTGTTCCGTTACTAGTTATGAATCTCCACAGGCGCATAATATTTCCATCTTGTTACTTTCGGACGATTAAAAATTAATTAATTCTACTTGAAGTAGGAAGATATAATCCAGAAACAATGTCACGATTCTACATGTTCGGGTTTTTAAACTTAGCACTACTCTTTTCCGCATAGCAACTATATATATATTTTAATGTTGAAACATTTGCTTCTTTTATCTTCATTTCTTCTTTTCTTTTCTATGGCTATTGTAAAAGTAGAGATTGTCATAATAAAATGTCTCATTATGACTTTATTAATAAAGAAAAAGATGCTTATTTTCAAATGCTACTTGGGGAAGGGGGGAAGGTGTAGTTCCGGCTTCTTGTCTTTGAAAAGATCTTCATAAACATGAAGCATAAACATAAACATAAACATGAAGAGACACTAAATCGTGATATAGAAGGCTTGTTACAGGCAAATACAAGCCAATGACTTCTGTAGTGACCACTAGTGAGCCTTAGCAATTAGGCAATTAGCACTTTCTTGACAAAAGACCACCCTTTGCTACTCACACAATGGCCCTCTTCTTGATTTGATTGAATTGGCTGCTACCTTCACCTGGCTGGCTGGGAAGTCTGTCCAAATTTGGACTGAATGTATGAGGGGAGATAATTGCTTTAGCACTTCAGTTGAAGTCAGACTAATTATAGTCTTAATCACTGGAGTTTCACTTCGTTTTTAGTCTTAAGATCACCTCCTTACTTAATCTTTAGGACCGCGACAATCCAGTTTTGGTCTTAAATTACACTTCAAGACCAAATCAGGCGCACTAGTAGACCCTTACTGTTAGAAGATGTGGTATAACACGAACGTTGATAACACATCAAGCTGACCCTGGGATTTCATAGAACTTAAAACAGCCGTATAAACGGATGCATAGTGGACATATCCAAGGGCATGAATTTAAACGCTCTCATGTTAGGATGAATTTTCTGCGAAACGTTTTTTCCTGATAATAAAAAAAAAAAAATTCGACCAAACGGTAAAAAGTAAGACACATACGTGGCATTTTCTTTCCTAAATTCTTTGTATACAAATAAACATGATTTTGGTGACAAATATATATCTGATGTTAATTGTATCCGTTTGAACAGATATTATTTTCTAAAATGTGAATTATAGCTAATGAAATTTATAAAGCTACTGAAATTAATGATTGCTTTCTGAATGGAAACATTGTGCATTTCTTACAAAAAGGCTACTCTACAAATAATTTTTAAAGTAAATCTGTAACTTATCGTAAATAAATAACAGTATCCTTTAACTCAAAGTGAAATTTTGATGCAACTTTTTTCAATAAGGTGATAACCAGGGAAAGGTGTTAAATGTTAACTGATTTTGTAAATTAACCATTGCGCGATGAAATTTGGACAATGTGTTTACAGAGTTAGACCAAAACATTATGGTCGCCTAATTCTACGACCAACCCTTCTATTAATTGCCATTATTCCTTTCCTTTCCTTAATCGTGGACGCATCATTGTGTTTTACATGCAGTAGGAGTTATAAAGCCATTAAAACGAAAATAAACTACTTTATGGTATTTCGAAATTTATACATAATTGCTTCGGCGAACCGCGCTGAATATGAAGAAGGCTGTGTTTACGCGGTTTTCCTTTTAAAAGTAAGAGGAAATTTATCTTCAGGTGAAAAATTTTGTTAAGCCGTGATAGAAAAAGTATATAAAGGGAGTAGCGAGTCAACAGCACACGATAACCAAGATATAAGAAAAAACAACCAAGAGAGAAACCGAGATGCAGACGATGAAAGTGTTCGTGGTTTTTGTTGCCGTATTCGTGATTGAGCAAGGTAAGGCAATATGAATCTTAAAAAAATTAGTTAGCCTGTCGTAACCCGATCATTGTTATTACAGTGATAAATACAGTTCACAGTGTTTATTTCGGACTTTTGGTAAATACATGCACTTACGCATGATTTTAATAGCAACTGACATATACTCTCTCTCATTCTCTCTCTCTCTCTCTCTCTCTCTCTCTCACACACACACACTCACTATAAAAACAGCATTTTAACATAGATTCTGTATCTAATCCAACATGTTGTATAATGGAATATGCTTTCTTTCACAGCATCGGCGGCAGTAAATACAAATGAACTTGCCAAAGCATTACACAATAAACTATCCAGTATTCTGGAGCCCGAGCTTATGTTTGCCCCGGCACCGCCTGGGAGTAACTTTAAAGGTCGACCCCAGCCTGTGTCGCCCAAGCTTGACTTTCTTCTTGTTCTCGACAGCAGCGGGAGCATTACTGCCGAGCATTTTGAATGGGTAAAAGACAATAGCAAGGTAATGTTTGTAAACACACGCACCCTCATGTACGCGTGCCCACATGCACAAAAACGCACAAACACATACATTTACATTTATATAATCTTTTCACTAAGAAATACCACACGGAGATCTAAAATTATTTTTCCGCATTAGTTCATCATATAAAGTAGAAAAATACTTAACGTAGGTACTTGGACCAGCACTAAAAACACGTCTTTTAGGCCCCATTTCCAGAGATTAGATCGATCTACTTTAGATCGACCTAACTCCCTGGGGGTTCACGCTAAATAGCTGTCAGCCGAGCGGACACGAAAGTTAATTACCCCCTTACAGCTTGTAGTAGGCGGGACATACATTTAAGCCGTATTATCTGACAGTAATCTAGTGAGACTCCCCGCGGGGATAGATCGATCTAAAAGCTCTGGGAATACAGCCTTACTTTTCAAATCAGTCACTCAAAGTAGCTACATTTTCATGAAACAATCAGTCATCCTCGTCTTTCAACATCATTATTATCATTAATTGTCATACAAAACACCGGTACATTTAACGCCTCAATTAAGCGTTACACAAGTGTATTTTACCTAAATTTTTCACTATGACGTACATATCATTCAGGTTCTAGTAGATTACATTCACGGTCAATCTCCGATTGGGACGTATGGATCACGGGTCGGACTCATCGAGTACTCCACCCAATGCAAAACCCACGTGGAATTTTCATTCTGCGACTACAACACTGTCAGTACTATAAAAAACCGGATCAGTCAAGTGAAGTTTGATAACGGTAGGACAGGTTTTAATTCTCTATAAATACATGGTTACTACTTGATATGGAATATTCTTTATCATTGTTATTTTTGAGTGCTGATTAAATCTTTTTTGACTTGATTCACCAAAAAGTATGTCATTGAGTGATAAAAATATCTAGTCTTCTATTGTGAGATATTTTGGTCAAAAATATCAAATCTGACATAAGATGTCATTCAAAAGAAAAGAACACCCCCAGAAAACCATATCAACAGTTTGATGCCAGTATTAATTTTAAGCTAAGATATTAAAGAAAATGATAGCCTCCGGACAGTGATATCTAATACAGTCAAAAAAATTATTACAGTAAATCATGAAAAGTCATTAATAGCGGGCGTGACCTCCAGCAGCCGCTTGCATCGCCCTCATCCTACATTGCATACCCTGTGACAAGTTTTTTAGAGTTTGGATGGGGATATCATTCCACGCAGTGATATTTGCATGTCGAAGTTCATCACCATTTACCGGCCGATGACCATAGCTGTTAATTTTGTGAGTTATTTCCGCACACAGATTTTCAATTGGGTTCATATCTGGAGAATTTGCAGGCCAGGGGAGTTGCAGAACCCATTGGTTTTGAAGAAGAAATCAGTGGTTCTGTTAGCTCGATGTGGGGTTGCGCAGTCGTCTTGGCACACAAAGTTGTTCCTGAAGATGACTCTTACAAATTAAAGCATTGTTGTCTGTAGAATGTCTCTGTAGGAACCCTGGTTGAGGTTGCCTCCTAGAAAAACCAACTGGTTCTGGGCACCGGCATGAAATGCTCCCTAAACAGAGGTGTTACCACCCCCTGCTTGCACCCTAGGCAGTACACAATCATCGTTTTATGCCTCTTGTACACGTCGGAGGACAGAGATTCGACATTCAACCCTAAAAACTCCATACCCGGCCTCATCACCGAAAACGACGTGATTCCAGTCTTTTGGCTGCAAATGCACGTGGTCAACAGCCCATTGCAGACGTTGCCGTATATGACCTGCTGTTAACAGTGGTTTCCCTACTGGTCGTTGTGCAAAATAACCGGCTTGTAGTAATTTCTTGTGAATTCCATGAAACGGTCGTTTAAATGTCATTCTGCCACTCTTTTCTGAGGACACTGGTTGTCTTTGTACGACCAGCACGGCGCACTCTAAAGAGAAGGCGATCCTGTCTTCTTGTTGTGATACGCGGACACCCTGGTCGAGGTATTGGAGTAGGTGCCCCTGTTGTAGCTTTTCTTTACTAACAGTTCCCGATAAATGATGCATTGCCTGGCAATGGCTGTCCATTTCTTGTCAAATTCTCTGAGAGGAAGAATCCCATAGTAAGCTGCGTTACTTAGCTGTCGAACCATATCTTCTCTAAGGCACCTGGCAATTTTCAGAGCGACCCCTTTGTTGCTTCTCTAAATACACTCCAAAGATTGGCCAAAGCCATGCGTTTTTATACAAGGGCAGAAATTGTCGAAAAGACCACCCCTCACATTACTGATCACAGAACATGCAACTGCATGCACCAATTGTTTCGAGAGTTGTGTGGTAATAAGGTAACACACCTGGCTACACATGGAGTGACACCTTAGTATTTTGTAGAAAATTTACTCGCCAAAAATAATATTCCATATTAAGTAGTAACCCTGTATACGTTTAAATTGGAATTAATATTTCAAATCTTGGGACTATTTTTGCAGGCATCGAAATAGTGATCGGAGACTTATCATACTTGAAGATATTGCAAACCTTGTGTTGCGCTTTGGATCATCTTAACACGATTACTTTGGCTCCTAACTGATTTTACCATTTTTAGAGGTTAGAAATTCTGTATCACAACGGAATCTATTTCAGGCGGTTCCACTGCGACGGGCCCTGCACTACAGTTGGCTAAAACGGAACTGGATATCAAAGGTCGCCCAGGCAACGTGAGAGTGGTGTGGGTGATTACAGACGGCAAATCGAACTCTGGTGTGAAACCTAAGATACCCGCGGATGACCTTAGAGCGAATGGTAAAGAAACTAGCTTCATTTTGCCTAGATCGCATGCAGATCAACGGAATAACAGATCCGCGGATCAAATATGGTCGACCCACTTGAATGCTTGTTGCGTAATTCCCGCCAGGAATATATTCAGTGTCTAATTGGAAATTAAGCTGCAATCTTTTAAATGAGTCGCCATACTTGATCCGTGGATCTGTTTGTCTGCCGTTCTGAATGTGCTCTTAGTTAGTAGGATAGTTTAGAAGTCGCTGTTTTAGCTACAGTATCAGTGTTTCATGGAATATTTTTCCCATTTAGTGTATATGTCTACAAATGATCTAGCAGTTACCAAATTTGCATTTTCATATTTTATTTGCACTCATATTTATCAAATTTGTGCTGCATAAGATATCCCCTCCAAAACACACACTTTCATGAAGAGGTCCTATTCCTTAAACCTGTACTGCTTTTTGCACTGGGTTTGCTTAAATCGCCGATTGTACACTATGATGTATTTGGGCAAATAAATTTATATTACGTCAAGGCGTTAATGTTGGAGTCCGAGTCTGGAGTCACGATGTGTAAAAATAACTTCCACAATTTTGTTACAGGTGTTATGGTTTGTGTTGTTGGCGTCGGCAATTCCGTCAACGACGTGGAGCTCAACCAGATCGGGGACAGCGGGTGTGTATTCCGCTCAGACTCGTACAGTCAGTTGAAGACGGCAGCCAGAATGGCTTACAACCTGAGCCAACCCCAACTGAGTTCCGGTTTCTTCAACAACCTTTCGTTCAAGCGTGTTTAATAAAAATGATTTGCAATATCGGTGCACTTACCAAAGCCAATCGAAAAACACATAGCTTAGCTTTGCACTGTACATTCCCGAACATGTATTTTAATCGCTTGGATAATCATGCAAACAAGATGAATTTATATCTTAGCAAAGTTTATTGAGAAAAAATTATTTTGACTGTGAGAAAAACATAAGCATTAGCAATTTTATATTTATTTGGATGGTTCGTTAGACGTTAAGGAAACAGCTACTCTGATATATCATTGATTAAGTTTATCTTCTATTTAAATGCACACGTGTGTGGACGATTTTTTTCGATGCAGTTTCGAAAGATCTCTTGTTTGTTTCATTTATGTTATGTCGTGTCACTTTTGACAATAAAAATGTGCTTACTGATTAGAACTTTGAGTATTCTATACACATAGAAATTCAATCGAGGCAACATGGGGGTTCATAATTTAAGGAAACTCAGGGCAAAGATAAACGTGTTAAGTGAAAGGTCGATTTATAATACAGACTTGACATTTAATATGGAATATTTTTTCTAAGCCATATTTTATCAGTTTTTTTCCTTCTTTGCTGACTGATACTATGACCGATGACTACCATTGGTGTTTTGGCACCAAAGTGGTACCCACTCCAAATACTGACGCTATTAATGACCCTTGTCACTTAAGAAGCGGCAGACTCTTCTTCGTGGGCCTATTCAGGATGCCTGTAAACTCTGTTTTGACTAGTTGAGAGGTACAGGTGAAAGCTGACATCAATAAAGAAAACCACGCGGTTTCAGTTAATTCATTAGAGAAATGTTTTGCTGTATATAGTAGCTTCCTCAGAGGCCGTTTGGAATCCTAACCTGCTATAACCAGTTTCGTGTTTGCTGAGAGCCTTGAAAACGCGTTTTGGAGGAAATTTGTTCCTTTATTCGGAACGGACTGGGTGGTTTTTGTTTAGTTGCAGCAGCATATCCCGAAGAACAGTGAGTCCTGTACCCTGGTGGTAAGATTTCGATACATTGGGCGTGGCTTCTGTATAGGTACATCAGTCTGGGCATAACTGTATAAAGCTGTGCGGACCGTTAGGTGTGACACAGCAATCTGTCTGGCAATGCCTGTCTTTTTCGCGCCATTCTGGTACAGCTTAACAATTTTGTAAAACGCTGCTTAACTCATTTTCATTCACTGCAAAACCGACCACTTGCATGCAAAATTTTCAAATTTTCAAATTCTTTGATGCAGTAGTTGTCGACATATGGATACTTTTCTGACAGAACCGTGCTTCGCCAAATCAAGCTTTGACCAGCCAAAAAGGAACACTACCTAATACCCAGGGGCGGATTGAGGCCGTCTTCTGGGTCTACTGGAAGACGGTCAGATTTTCAAGTTTACATTGACGGGTATCTGATTTTTTTCTGTCGGAAGACGGTCAATATAGAGGATGGATCAACAAAGATAATTTGGAAGACGGTCAGAAAATATCTTTGGATCCGCCGCTGTAATACCCAATGCAGAAGTGCAACAGACATGGTAGTTAGTTAATTCGTAGCGACACACCTGACCTCACATCTCTCTAGTAATATACCCTTTATGAGATCTGAATGAAAAAAGAATGCATTTTTACCAAGGTTTACATTTGAAACTGAAATATTCCACATAAAATGTCAAGTCTGTATTTACCTTCAGCGATCGAGTACATTGTGCAAATGTTTAGAGCGTCCAGATTTCCTCCCTCCCACGCGTTCTAAAAAGTAATTTGTAAATTTGCATCTCCTAACCCGGTGACTTGTCGCTTTTAATCCCTCCTCTTATGGCGAATAATTTATTTCCTAAGAATTGCTACACAAAAGCAAATAAATATTCTTACGCTTATGACCTTCAAGACCTACAATCTTCCACGTCAGCAGCAAAAGTTACAACCTAGCTGGCACCATAAATTATGTTACCGAGATCACCTGTTCATATATTAATCAGTTCTCTCTACCTCTTAAACACACACACACACGCACACCCGCGCACACACAAACACTGGAATATCCTCGCATATCAAGAGCGTGTGTACGGCGCAATATGTCATATATAAGGGTTATCTGTTAAACATTCGGTTACACTTGGACAATACGGAATGATGTAGGGACCCACGTAAATGTCTATTGGGTGAAGAGCTGTCCAAGGATATAGTTCAATAATTCACATTATTTTTCATCATATAGGACACATTTACCTATTACCAAGTGATGCGGTTTTAAACATGTGGTCATATATGAACTATGTTTGGAAATATTTAAGTTTTTACTGTTACCTTTCCTATTATTGGAAGATTTCTCAGGGACCAGACTTCGAAAATATTTTTCACTTTTTCAATATTTTATAAAAAAGTTCTCTCACAATGTTTTTTCTTTCAACTCGTATTTTATAACAAGTTATGCAAGGCTGACATTTGCACGACCTTTGGCCCCGATTTTGTCGTGGCATGTCGTGTCATTTTGGGGCACGAACTGGGAGGCTCCCGCACTGTTCCCTACTAGTTCACGTATAGTTCACGACGACACTGTAGAATTTATACGCAAGAAAATAACTTACCCCATTGATGTAGCAGTCGGCAATTGTATTGTTGATCCCTGCTTGAAGTTATACGGAATCTTTCACTGTCGTAAAATGTTGTAAACGTGCTGTAAGGCTTCAATAGATCTAGTTAACTGCTGGATAGTTTTCATCAAAGTAAAAGCCGATGGAATTTTTTTAACTGAAGATTTAAGTTGAAGGTTGGAGATAACTTGAAGCTTAATCGTATTGTGCGCGTCAACAAAATGAATCGAGCGCAAAATGGGGTCAGGCAGTGAGGCCCCATGATATAAGTAGCAACATGTGCCTCAATGGAGACTATCCCTCTAGGGTAAAATTGAGCATGTGCAGAATGCGCATGTGCGTAAATAAGCTCTGGGGAAAGTTGTCGCCATAAAATGTCGTTTGACCACACCAAACTTTTCTTTATTTCCGTCACGCAAACCTTAGGTATTGTACAGAGAAATCGACTGTCCTGAAAACACATAAAGGCGTCCCTGCGATGAAATTTGGACAATGTGTTTACAGAGAGAGACAAAAACACTATGGTCGCCTAATTCTACGACCAACCCTTCTATTAATTGCCATTATTCCTATCCTTTCCTTAATCGTAGACGCATCATTGTGTTTTCCTTGCAGTAAGAGTTATAAAGCCATTAAAACGAAAATGCACTTCTTAATGGGGCGTGCTATTTCGAAATTTATACATAATTGTGTCGGCGAACCTCGCTGAATATGAAGAAGGCTTGTCATTACGCGGTTTTCCTTTTAAACGTATGAGGAAATTCATCTTCTCAGTCAGGTGAAAAATTTGGTTAAGCCGTGACAGAAAAAGTATATTAAGGCAGTCGCGAGTCAACAGCACACGATAACCAACATATAAAGAAGAAATAACCATGGGAGAAACCGAGATGCAGACAATGAAAGTGTTCGTGGTTTTTGTTGCCGTATTCGCGATTGAGCAAGGTAAGACAACATGAATCTTAAAAATTAACTAGCCTGTCTTAACCCAATTGTTGTTATTGCAGTGATAAATACAGTTCACAATGTTTATTTCGAACTTTTGATAGATACATGCACTTATGCATGGTTTTAATAGCAACTGTCATATACTCTCTCTCCCTCTCTCTCTCCCACACACACAATGGGACAAATCATAGATATCTAATACAACATGTTGCATAATGGGATATGCTTTCTTTCACAGCATCGGCGGCAGTAAATACAAATACTCTTGCCAGAACATTACACAATAAGCTATCCAGTCTTCTGAAGCCCCAGCTTGTGCTTCCCCCGGTACCGCCTGGTCGTAGCTATCAGTTTGTTACGCCCAAGCTTGACTTTCTTTTTGTTCTCGACAGCAGCGGGAGCATTACTGCCAGGTATTTTGAAGAGGCAAAGGATGTGTGCAAGGTAATTTTGTACACATGCACGCACGCACACACACACACACACACACACACACACACACACACGTGTACACCCACACACACGCACAAATACGCATATTTACAGGTATATAACATTTTCACTATGAGGTACCACGCAACGGACAGGTCCATCATATGAAGTAGAAAATATTATAAAATAAGATACTTAGTCCCGAAAACATGGCTTTTACCTTTAAAAGTAACTACATTTGATGAGAAAATATCATTAACCTTGTCTTTAATCATCATTATTATAAATTGCCTTCTGTAGATATACAAAATATTCTTATCTTATTTTTTTCAATACGACATACTTATCATTCAGATTATAGTAGACTACATTCATGGTAAGTCACCGATTGGAAAGTATGGGTCACGGGTCGGACTCATCCAGTACTCTACCAAGAGCAAAACCCATGTTGAATTTTCATTTGGCGACTACAACACTGTCAGTGCTATAAAAAACAGGATCAGTCAAGTGAAGTTTGATAACGGTAGGACAGGTTTTAATTCTCTATAAATACAGGGTTGCTACTTAAGTGTGTGTCCACGAGAAAACCAGACCAAATGTAGAAAATGCGGCAAGGCGGGGGTGAACGGATTTACACCATATTTGATGTGTTTGAACTTTTATATGAACAATATCTGAGGCTGCAATATTTCCTGAAAAAAATCCCTACCTACAGAGATATGGGCAGTCACAATTTGGGGGGTTAATCAACCAAAAATTCATCTGAAAAACGGGGTTATATTGATTGGCCTTACAGTTGATACAGGTGTGACTTAATGATTTAGTTTGGTGATATGTTATAACCTAAAGATAGGGTATTAAAATGATATACACTTTTTTCACCCTCTTTGTTCCCATCGTAACAAACTAAACGTTTTTCTCAGGGCTACGAACCACGTGCTTTGAACACCCCCCTTCTATTGTTAACAATATCTTCATCTTCACAGGTCTTTGGGGTAAAGCGTGTTCAGGACTAACAGATAACTCATTAATCTATTTATACATGAAATCAAAACTTACTGCTGTTCTACAACTTGTCCGTTGTAAGAGATAGAACATGACCTAATTCCTTCATTTTTCGTAAATATATCCGGACTTATATATCGGTGCACTCAACTTCAGCTATCTCTTTCAAGTCAACAAATGGTTTAAAACACTGTTAGTTGAGCTTTATATCTTCATTTTACCTATTCTAATTTTTTTCTGGTTAAAACAAGCATCTAACACATTTTAAAATCATGTGAAACTAATGTACTAACGACAGAACAACACAGCGTGATTATCCAACATGGCGGAAAGCGCAGACTGTTTCTTTGCAAATCTTCCTCACCGAAGTCGTATGTCATGTGGTTTATACCTGTCTACAGATATGAAAAAACATGTAGTGTATTGAAAAACTGCAACAGAGATATACAGTCATCTTTGTCGCGTTTACGTGAAGCAAAACTGCGTGAGTTACGAAAGCAAACTGATTCTTGTCAGGTGTGGACTCTTTTGTCTCCGATGACCGCAATTGGACATTTTCAAGTATCTTTGGGAGAATGAATGGGTTACACCATGTGACCAGCATAGGGATATGGGCTTGGTTTGTGCTGGAAACCATCCACACAGGGAAAAACGAGCCTATAACGAAATATGTCATGGGATTAACTTGCAGATGTCAGTGTAGACAAAAAGCCATTTGAATATACTGGTACCACTTGCTTCAGGTAAGAAACGGGTTTGTTTGTATTTTAATACAGGTTAAAGGCCAGAAAAAAGGTCACTCAGAAAAATGATCTAGGTGCAATTTTTTAATGGTAAACGGTCCATTTTTTTCTTCTTTTTTTAAAAGAAAAATGCCCCCTTTCAAATAATGAAATTTCAGCCTAAGGACCTGTGATAATTCTATCTTTTAAGCTATATTTGTGTAGGTATTTAGGTTGGTTTAAGGGTATTTGGGTAAAATAAGTTTAAGGGTAACAATTGGAGTTAGATTGAAGCTAGGGCTGGTCTTGGCAAAATTGCTAGTCTCATCATAATTTATATTCGAAACCATGTCTTACTTATAAAACATTGACACATGGGATAATAATTTATTTTTCATCAACGTATCAATTAACTTTGAGATAAGTGTTTTCATGTGTCTATAGTAAGCTATATTTATATTTCAGGCACATTTGAGAGGTGTTATTTGACACAGTGATCTTATGGTCAGCAAAAGAGTCCAAAGCCTTGCAGAAACTGAAACTAGTGTGGAAATGACGGATGTTGTAGAAAGGCATGTATGTAAATGAAAGCCACAATATAACAAATGCTGAGGAGTTGCATGAGGCCTTAGTTTCTGCAGATGGAGTGGAGGGGTGCTCTTTTGCTGCCATTTTCTACATCCAGCTAGACAGACATCTTCTAAACCTGCGTGGACTGGAGTGTCCAATTACAACAATTTGGCTTTCTTGATTCCTTCAACATGAGAAAAGGTGTCTCTCTTCCTTGAGCAGTTTTAATATGAGTAATACTGATGTTAAAGTTAATTTGGGTTTTTCTGAGGCAAATGTGCCAACTGGGACTATACCTAGAGAACTCCACCCTCTTGAATATCTCACTGAGTTACACAATGGATGAGCTTTAAAGTCATATAAACCTTTGAAACTATATTCAAATAAAGTAAAGGAGTTTTTACTGAAGGAGTTTAGAAGGGCACAAGAAACAGGCCAGCAGAACCTAGCATTTGTGAGCATGAAGATGAGATTGAAATGTCAGTAAGGAGGGTTACAGACTATTCAGGAAGAAAAAGTGCAGTTATTTTTGAATGTATTATAAACTTTGATGTTATGAGCTGTAATGTTTGATATAAAACTGTCAAGATGTTTCATAACACCAGGTTATATTTTGCAGTTGTGTTAGTTTTGCTTTTTGAATAGAAAATTATCTTGTTTTGCTACATTATGATATAGGTTGTAATGATCACAACTAATGTTGCACTGCTTTGCATGTATTGCTGTATTATAATTTTGTGATTTTTTTATTATTTGTAATTATTCATCTGAGACAAAAATAAACTAATTTGAATATTTTTTAGTTACTGTTTGCTCATAAATAGTCACCAAAAAGTGGTGTGGATGATAAAAAAAATTTGTTCTGGCTTTGATCTCATAAATACTATATGGCATATCCTGATCTCTAAATGATAAATATTGCACCAAAAAGAAATCTTTTCTAAACTAAGATTTTAATTTGTATTCACCAAATTGATGATATATATATATATATATATATATATATATATATATATATATATATATATATATTATCATGTAAACTCTCAAGTTAATTGCCAGTGCTTAGCCAAAGTAATAGAATCAAAGATTTATTTCCTCTTAACTTTTTGTCCATGCAAATGAAAAAGTCCATATATGACAATTTACAAAAATGAAGCCCAGTGACCTTGACCTATGGCCCACTGACCTGATATTCATTAGTACACATCCACTTTCCATGCTCACCAGCCCTATTAATTTAGTAACAACATTGTAGAGCAAAATGTTTTAATAAATTAATCAAACCCATTGTCTACATAGACTTGAATGAATCCACCACG